GACCGAGGCGAGGGAGGGGGAGCGCTTCAGACGTTTCCCACTTGGTCTCTCTGCTCTCGGACCACCTCTCTTCTCCTCTCACCCTGGCATTCAAGCCCCCAGTTTGGGCTCCTTTGGAGTTGTCATGGAAACACGGAGGCTAGACCAGGCGAGGCGGGTGGGACTAAGGAAAGGAAGGAGGGAGAGAGAACTCTCTGGAGTCTCCCCCTCCAAGACTCACTTAGTGATTATATTGTGGGAGGAAGTGAACAGGTTCTCAGTGGAGTTAATGACCCAGGTGCCTCCAGGGGCACGTTGTCTCCCCGTCTTAGCTCCCTGCAAGGTGCCAGGGTCTTCTCCCAAATCCTTGGCCCCAGTTTCCCCCTATTTAGAAGAGATAAATACTTGTGTGTGAGAGAGAATTGTGCAGAGTTCAGAACTGCGATGGTCTGAAAAGTTCCCAGGATATGGTGAACTTGCCAACCTAGCAGTAAAGAGGGAGGCCCAGGTCTGTAATTCGGGGGGAGCTGGGCCTTGGGGGGAAAAGGGAGAGAGAGTTTGGGCGGTGTGCATACATACCTTCTTCATCCAGGACTAAGGAGCTGAAGCTCTTTTGGAGGGGGTAGGGAGTATGACTTAACTGCTCATTTCTGGCAGCTCTGTTGGTAATGTGTGCTGGTCTCCCCACTTTCCCTTTGCTTTTAAAGAGGCTGCTTAGAGTCTCTGGGCCGGTCAATGTTCAGATCCATTCCCTAAACCCCCCTACTCCCACCAACCACCTCCCACCAAGACGCATCTCCACCTCCTGAGTCGACCTGCGGTACAGCGTTATTAGTCTTTTTATTTCCTTATTGCATCTTGGGAACGCGTGGGTGGGTGAAGGGAGCAAGGATAGGAAGTCTATGGAGATTTACACCAGTTTTTTTTTTCTTTTTTTTAAAACAAAAACACAGCCAGATAATCATTATTCTTCCCTTACACCCCCCCCAGCCCCCACCTGGGGCAGTCGCTCTCCCGGCTGCGTCCCTTTTCGTCCGTGTCCTAGCGGAGACTACAGAGCAGTACAGAGGCTCTCGCTGAAACCAGTCTCAGGCTCCAGAGAGTCAGATCACGGCTTCACACCAGTCGTTCTGGTCACTAGGCGTTCGCGTGAGCCCTCAACCCCTTACCGCCACCCCATCGTCACTCTACACCACTCCGAGAGCAAAATGGTTTGACTGAGACAAATTTAGACCAAGCAATGACCTTGTCAACAGAGAGAGGGGTTCAGACATGCTGAGAAATCCTTCTCTCTAGAGAAACGTCTTTAAATGCTAAGTAAAAACCCTAAGTAAAAGCCCTGAGGCACTAGGGTGTCGGGTAGGGATTATAGGCGGAGAGATGGGACGCCTGAGGGTCTCGGTAGGGAGCCACCCACAGATAACTCAGAGAACCACATTGTGGGGGTCGCTCAGGTTGAAAGACTGGTCGAAATTACAAGGGCATGAGTCAGCGCATCCCTATGCGCCCTCCGCCCCTTGGGGGTGGGTCGCTTATAGGGAGGGGAGTAGAGTAGGGCAGGAGAAATTGGGCCAGGCTGCACTTAGCTCAAGGGGCCTGGAGGACTCTCCGCGTCTCTGGAGACAAGGGCACTACACGCACTTCAGAATGAAGAGTTGTAAGTCGCTGACCTGGGGCGGACTGGAGGGTTGGGTGGCGGTGGGTATTGAGGGGCAAGCCCGGGCTGGCATCAGCCCTCCAGGCCACCCTGCCACTCACCCAGCACACGGCAAAATGCAGAGGACTACCTTTCCCTGGTCCACCCCCCGGCCGCCCCTTGGGGAATGAAAACTTCGTGTTCCGCTGCGAGCCAGACGCCTGTACTGGGAAGTGGGGAGAATCAAGGCGGGGGAAATCGGACCTTTGGGTCGCTGGGGGCAACGAAGCCTGGAGAGGCCTTCTTTCCATTCCCATAATATGTCTGCTGCTTTTTCCTCTCCCCACCGGCCTAAATGGATCGCTCCGCCTATTTCCTCCCCAGCACCAAGAGCGCAATGGAATATTCCATTGCCCCTCCGGTACTGGGTCTGTGTAGCTTGGAACGCTCGCGCGGTTGCCAGAGAAAGCCCCGGACGTGACGGATTTGCGCGACCCCAACCAGCCCGTCCTTCCCCCTCCCATCCGTCATTCCCCTGCGCTCTCTTTCCTCACCCTTCCCCCTCCCCCGTGGGTTCCAGTCTTGGGAGAAGTAAACAGCGGGTGGAGCGAGGCCTACGGACCCAGGCCAGGTGGGAGTTTGCACGCTTCAAGGGGCCTGGGCTGCTGCTCGGGTATTACAGAACTCCGCGTTGTTCATGGCTGGGAAGATGCTTTCATCCCTGAACCTAGGGAACAAGTCCCCCGAACGCTGAGTTGGGGGCGGGACTTCGGGTGCGCGTTGGTGCGTCAACGTGGTAGGGGGGTGTGTTTGTAGGGAGAGGGCTGGAGTAAGTTAAAAGTAGGCTATTTTGTGACAGGGACCTGGTGAGGGACCTGGTGTGGGACCGAGAGGAGGTGGCTTGATTGCCAGGCGTCTGTTCCGAGGGAGGAGGGTGTTGCCATCTCCCTCACAGGCCTTTATCACCCTTTTCTCAGGCGGGAGCATGCTGGGGCTCTGGGGGCAGCGGCTCCCCGCGGCGTGGGTCCTACTCCTGTTACCTTTCCTGCCGCTGCTGCTGCTTGCAGCCCCCGCGCCCCACCGCGCGTCCTACAAGCCGGTCATCGTGGTGCATGGGCTCTTCGACAGCTCGTACAGCTTCCGCCACCTGCTGGAATACATCAATGAGGTCTGGCAGGGGACACCTGGGTGCAGGGCGTTAGAGGCGTCTACTGTGGCAGGGGAGGGAGAGCGGGGAACTGAAAGCCACCCCTCTGGGCCTGCCCAGTTCCTCAGGGAGCTGGTGCTGGCGTGGGGGAGAGTTGGGGGACGGGATCCCTGGTTCTAGCAGGGTACAATAGACCTGTGGATGCGGGCCAGGGGTGGCGTGTGGGAGCTTCTTAGCCTATCCCCGGTGGCTGCATTGCCCCCTTCCCACAGACACACCCCGGGACTGTGGTGACAGTGCTCGATCTCTTCGATGGGAGAGAGAGCTTGCGACCCCTGTGGGAACAGGTGCAAGGGTTCCGAGAGGCTGTGGTCCCCATCATGGCAAAGGCCCCTCAAGGGGTGCATCTCATCTGCTACTCGCAGGGTAGGCGACTCCCCTGCCCCTAACTCCTAAGCCCTATCTGAGGCTTGATCCTTATCTGAGGGACACTTCCTAGTGTCCCTTTTTCTGAACCACATTGCTCCAGGCACAACCCTGGTACCTGAGCCCTTCCTTTCTGACTTCCCTCAGCACCTGGGTCTCATCTCTGTCTTGAATGGGAGGGAGGCTCCCTAGACTGCTACCCCTTTGTTTCCTATTACCCATGGTTCTTGGACATAAGGGCAAATGGGGCAGGTAAAAACATCTTAGAATTAGAGGCAGGAGGCCCAGCATCTAATTCGGGCTCAGTCATTTATATGATGTGTGACATTTTGGCACAGGGTGTGCCTGCCTTCCGTAAGCCTCAGTCTCCTTTATGTACAGTGTGTGTGTGTGTGTGTGTGTGTGTGGCAGTGGGGGTGGGGGGTGCTGCTGGCTTTGCTGTCCTTAAGTGTCTGCCCAATGTGGTGTTCTGCCTACAGGGGGCCTTGTGTGCCGGGCTCTGCTTTCTGTCATGGATGATCACAATGTGGATTCTTTCATCTCCCTCTCCTCTCCACAGATGGGACAGTATGGAGGTGAGTGGGCACTAGACCCCACAGAATGCCCTGAGTTTTGGGGGAACAGAGGTTTATGGTCACTTAACACTGCCATTCTCTTGCCAGACACGGACTACTTGAAGTGGCTGTTCCCCACCTCCATGCGGTCTAACCTCTATCGGATCTGCTATAGCCCCTGGGGCCAGGAATTCTCCATCTGCAACTACTGGCATGGTGAGTGGGGATGCTGAACTGGGGCTTCCATGGATCAGGTCAGTTGCTTCCACCTCTGCTACAACCAATAGCAGTGATAACAATAAAGATAACTAACATTTATTGAGCTATTTGAACAGAGTCTGTTCAGAATTTCTTTTTTCTTTTTTTTTTTGAGAAGGAGTCTTGCTGTGTTGCCCAGGCTGAAGTGCAGTGCACGATCTCGGTGCACGGCAACCTCCGCCTCCCAGGTTCAAGCGATCCTCCTGCCTCAGTTCCCCTAGTAGCAACTTGCTATTGCTGGGATTACAGGCAGGCGCCACCACGCCCGGCTAAGTTTTGTATTTTAAGTAGAGATGGGGTTTTGCCATATTGGCCAGGCTGGTCTCAAACTCCTGACCTCAGGTGATCCACTCGCCTCGGCCTCCCAGAGTGCTGGGATTACAGGTGTGAACCATCGCACCCGGCCCAGAATGTTTTAAGTGTGTCACCTTATTGCCTTAGAAGGCTTAGTCTGTTGTGGGAGTCAGCAAACCTTGTCTATAAAGGGCCAGAGAGTAAATATTTTTGACTTTGTAGGACACAGAGTCTGTTTCACAACTCCTCAATTCTGCTGTTGTAGTGTGAAAGCAGCCATGTACCATATGTGAATGAATGTTCCTGTGTTCGAATAAAACTTCATTTACAAAAACAAGTAGCGGGCTGGATTTGGCCCATTGGTCACAGTTTGCCAACCTCTAGACCAGACCATGGGACCAGAATACTTGGGTTTGAATCTTGACCCTATTGGGTGACTTTGGGCAAGTTACTTAACCATTCTGTTACTTACTCAATTTTCCTTATCTGTAAAATATTATAGCATGTACTTCACCAGGTGGTTGTAAGGATTAAATCAATAAATGAATGCAATGTACTTTGAATAGCACCTGGCTCATATAGTAGATACTAGATAAAAGTACTTGCTATTGCCAGGTGTGGTGGCTCACACCTGTAATCCCAGCACCTTGGGAAGCGGAGGTGGGCAGATCACCTGAGGTCAGGAGCTCAAGACTAGCCTGGCCAACACGGTGAAACCCCATCTCTACTAAAAATACAAAAAAATTAGCTGGGTGAGGGCACACGCTTGTAATCCCAGCTACTTGGGATGCTGAGTTAGGAGAATTGCTTGAACCTGGAAGGCAGAGGTTGCAGTGAGCGGAGATTGTGCCACTGTACTTCAGCCTGGGTGACAGAGATTTCGTCTCAAAAAAAGAAAAGTGAGGCTGGGCGCGGTGGCTCACGCCTGTAATCCCAGCACTTCGGGAGGCCAAGGCGGGCAGATCACGAGGTCAGGAGATCGAGACCATCCTGGCTAACAAAATACAAAAAATTAGCTGGGCGTGGTGGTGGGCGCCTGTAGTCCCAGCTACCTGGGTGGCTGAGGCAGGAGAATGGCATGAACCCAGGAGGCAGAGCTTGTAGTGAGCTGAGACCGTGCCACTACACTCCAGCCTGGGCGACAGAGCAAGACTCTGTCTCAAAAAAAAAAAAAAAAAAAGTACTTGTTACTATGTTTACAGTTATTATCACTACTATTATTATTATTTTGAGACGGAGTCTCACTGTGTTGCCCAGGATGGAGTGCAGTGGTGCAATCTCAGCTCATTGTAACCTCCACCTCCTGGGTTCAAGTGATTCTTATGCCTCAGCCTCCTGAGTAGCTTGGATTACAGGCATGGACCACCATGCCTGGCTAACTTTTGTATTTTTAGTAGAGACAGGGTTTTGCCATGTTGGGCAGGCTGGTCCCAAACTCCTGACTTCAAGAAGTGATCCACCTGCCTCGACCTCCCAAAGTGCTGGGATTATAGGCGTGAGCCGCCGCACCTGGCCCATATTATCACTACTATTTTATTACTATCCACCTTGACTATTGCTGCAGCTTCCTTATTGGGCTTTTCACCACCAGTCTTGCCTCCTTTTTGTACTTCTTTTTCTAACTGCCCTTTGTACCCAGATCCCCACCACGATGACTTGTACCTCAATGCCAGCAGCTTCCTGGCCCTGATCAATGGGGAAAGAGACCATCCCAATGCCACAGGTGAGAATTCAGGCTCCTACCTGTGTTGCTTTTTCTGCTTCTTTGACTCCCTATGTCTCCCTCTCCAACCTATCCTGACCCCTGTGGCTGATTCAGCCTCTCTTCTTCCCATCCTACAGTATGGCGGAAGAACTTTCTTCGTGTGGGCCACCTGGTGCTGATTGGGGGCCCTGATGATGGTGTTATTACTCCCTGGCAGTCCAGGTAATAAGGGATTGTGTGGCCTGAAGATTGGCTAAAGACATCCCCCAACCCCAATCGGTCTTTATCTCATGCCTAAAACTGGCCTGCTCCTTCCACCGTTCAGTTAGTGCGCCTCCCCCCATTTCATCATGTCACCCAAGACCAAAACCTGGGAGTCATATCCCAACCCCTTGTATCAAACCAGTCACTAAGTCCTGCTGACACTTCTCCTCTCCATCCCTATCACCCCCTCCCTCATTTTATAAAAACTTTTAATTTTGAAATTCTTATAGATTCATAGGAAATTGCAAAGATAGTATAGAGAGGCCCTTCACCCAGCTTCCCCCAGTGGTTGCATCCTATGTAATTATAGCACAATGTCAAAACCAGGAAATTCACATTGGTTCAATGTGTGTGTATAGTTCTATGCCATTTTATCACATTTCCTACCACCTCTTTATTTACCTGGACTATTATAACAGCCTCCAGCTTTGTCCCCTCCATCCTATTCCTTAGAAAAAAACCCATGACTCCATGGTACTATGTGCTTTCCTGTGTTATAGGTCACCATGAGTGATCTGTAATGTCACCTGAGCTACTTGAATCACTCAAGAAATATTTATTCAACATTATGGGCTCAGGCTTGTTCTGGGCCCTGGGGATGCAGTGGTAAATAAAAGAGAAGTCCCTAATGTTACCTAGCTTATATTCTAGTTTGTAAGACAGCTGATACATATATACAAATATATATGTCAGGTAATAAGGCAGGGGAAAGGATTAGAGGATGACTGGGGCCTAGTTTCAACAGTGGCCGAAGTCCTCCTGGAAGAGTTGCCATTCAATTAGAGACTGAAGGAAGCGAAGGAGAGAGTTGTGCTCTGGGTGGAAGAACCCCCCAGGGAGAAAGTATGGCCCCCATGCCCGGCCTTGCCCGGCCAATATTTTTTAATTAAAAGATTTTAACTCCATCTGGCTGGGCGCGGTGGCTCACGCCTGTAATCCCAGCACTTTGGGAAGCCGAGGCGGGTGAATCACCTGAGGTCAGGAGTTTGAGAACAGCTGGGCAATGTGGAGAAGCCCCGTCTCTACTAAAAATACAAAAAGTAGCTGGGCATGGTGGCGCATGCCTGTAGTTCCAGCTACTCAGGAGGCTGAGGCAGGAGAATTGCTTGAAACTGGGAGGCGGAGGTTACAATGAGCCGAAAGGGTGCCACTGCACTCCAGCCTGGGTGACAGAGCAAGACTCCATCTCAAAAAAAAAAAAAAAGATTTTAAGACCTTTTTGTTTTAAAATAATTTCATACTTAAGAAAAGTTTGCGCCTGTAATCCTAGCACTTTGGGAGGCCAAGGCGTGAGCCCAGGGGTTTGAGACCAACCTGGGCAACATGGCAAAACCCTGTCTTTACCTAAAATACAAAAATTAGCTGGGCGTGGTGGTGTGCCTTTGTAGTCCCAGCTACTCAGGAGCCTGAGGTGCGAGAATTGCTTGAGCCTGGGAGGTCAAGGCTGCAGTGGGCCGAGATCTTGCCATTGCACTCCAGCCTGGGTGACAAGAATAAGACCCTGTCTCAAAAAAAAAAAAAAAAAAAGTTACCAAAATAGCAAAAAGCAGACATGTATACTCCTCACCTACATTTCTCAAATGTTAACATTTTGTCATGTTTACATTAATATGTTTTTTTCTCAATATATATACATTTATTTATATATTTATTTTAATGTTGTGTTTAAAAATAAACATAGATTCAAATTGCCCTGAATATGCGCTCACAGATTATTCAAAATTTTCCAACTGTCCTTATAGAAAAAAATAATATCCAGTGGAAGATCCAAATCAGGATCTTGAGTTGCATTATCCTGTCATGTCTCTTTAGTATCTTTTTTTTTTTAATTGCGTCTGAGTTTTGCTCTTGTTGCCCAGGCTGGAGTACAATGGCCACAATCTCGGGCCACTGCAACTCCACCTCCAGGTTCAAGTGATTCTCCTGCCTGAGCCTCCCGAGTAGCTGGGATTACAGGTGCCCGCCACCATGCCCAACTAATTTTGTATTTTTAGTAGAGACAGGATTTCTCCATGTTGGCCAGGCTGGTCTCAAACTCCTGACCTCAGGTGATCCACCCTCCTCGGCCTCCCAAAGTGCTGGGATTACAGGCATGAGCCACCACACCGCGCTTTTTTTTTTTTTTTTGGACAAAGTCACTCACTCTGTCTCCCAGGCTGGAGTGCAGTGGCGCGATCTCAGCTCACTGCAACCTCTGTCTCCCAAGTTCAAGTGTGCCTCAGCCTCCCGAGTAGCTGGGATCACAGGCATACGCCACCACACCCAGCTAATTTTTGTATTTTTAGTAGAGATGGGGTTTTACCATGTTGGCCAGGCTGGTCTCGAACTCCTGACCTCAGGTGATCTGCCCACCTCGGTCTCCCAAAGTGCTGGGATTATAGGCATGAGCCACTGTACCAGGCCTCTTTAGTATCTTTTAATCTGGAATGGTTTTTAGTCTTTGTCCATGACATTAATATGACATTGATATTTTTGAAGCATACTGATCAGCTGTTGTGTAGAATTTCCCTCAGTGTGGGTTGGATATTTCCTTATGCTTAGGTAATCTTTTTTTTTTTTTTTTTTTGAGATGGGATCTCACTCTGTCATCCAGGCAGGAGTGCAGTGGCGCGATCCCGGCTCACTGCAACCTCTGCCTCCCAGAATCAAGCAATTCTCCTGCCTCTGCCTCCCGAGTGACTGGGATTACAGGCGCCCGCCACCAGGCCCAGCTAATTCTGTATTTTTAGTAGAGACAGGGTTTCTCCACGTTGGCCAGGCTGGTCTCGAATTCCTGACCTCAGGTGATCCACCCTCCTCGGCCTCCCTAAGTGATGGGATTACAGGCTTGAACCACCACACCCAGCTAATTTTGTATTTTTAGTAGAGATGGGGTTTCGCCATGTTGGCCAGGCTGGTCTTGAACTCCCGACCTCAGGTGATCCGCCGGCCTTGACCTCCCAAAGTGCTAGGATTACAGGTGTGAGCCATCTCGCCTGGCCAGTAATGCATTTTTGATGGGGTTTCTACAGAAGTGAGGTCGTATCTTCAGTGTATCACCTCATGAGGTACCTATATCCAGTGAGATATTTTTGAGTGTCCTCCCTTGCTGCCTGTCTCCCCAGTAGGCCTTGGGTTCCTTTGGGACCTTGGCCCACCTTGATTTCTTCCTTTTTTTTCCTTTTTCCTTTCCTTTTTCTTTTCCTTTTTCCTTTCCTTTCCTTTTTGAGACGGGGGTCCCACTCTGTCACCCAGGCTGGAGTGCAGTGGCTTGATCTCAACTTACTGAGATCTCCACCTCCTGGGTTCAAGTAATTATCCTGCCTCAGCCTCTTGGGTAGCTGGGACTACAGGCACCTGCCACCATGCCTGGCTAATTTTTGTATTTTTAGTAGAGATGGGGTTTCACCATGTTGGACAGGCTGGTCTCGAACTCCTGGCCTCAGGTGATTTGCCTGCCTTGGCCTTCTAAAGTACTGCAATTACAGGCATGTGCCACTGCGCCTAGCCAGATTTTCTCCAGCTCTTCTGATAACTTCCCCACAAATCTCTTTGTAGCTTCTTTGGTTTCTATGATGCAAATGAGACAGTCCTGGAGATGGAGGAGCAACTGGTGAGCCCCCTGGGATTACTTCCCTTCCATCCACTGTCCCACCTTATTCCAGAGCCCTCTCTGTGACTCCCAAGCTGAAGGGTTCACCCTGTGGGGAGGAGGTCCAGGATCCCAGCAGTAACTCACTTTGTCTCTCCTTATGTCTCTCTTCCATGCTTCCATGCCCCTTCGACCACTTTGAAGGTTTATCTGCGGGATTCTTTTGGGTTGAAGACTCTATTGGCCCGGGGGGCCATAGTGAGGTGTCCGATGGCCGGGATCTCCCACACAGCCTGGCACTCCAACCGTACCCTTTATGAGACCTGCATTGAACCTTGGCTCTCCTGAGGATATATTCAGGGGTCCCCAGGAACTCCTCAGTCCAGAGACCAAGTGGTGGCCTTGGAAAGCAGATGTCAGGCTTTGGTGTGCCTGTAACCACCTCATTGCTCCCATATTACCCCCCACCAACCTGGCCTCCCAGAACCCCCTTCCTCTGCTCCTCCGTGAATGACAAGTCCAGGCCTCCCCTACCTCATGTCTTCTCATTTGGGGGATTGCTCCGTGCTCTCCCTTTCTCTCAAGGCCGAAGTTGGGAATTGAGAAACCATGTTTTTAACTTGTGGCTGCTTTTGCTGCTGCTGCTCCTCCGTATCTGGCTGTATGGGAGGAGAACCCACCCCCTGCCCACCACAGGGGTCTCCTTCCAGGCCACTCAGGACATTTTTAGCTTCTCTTCTCCCCATGTTCCCTTTTTTCTCTGAAGTCCCCTGTCATCAGCCCTCCTGACCCCTAAGAGAGACTACCCATGAGAGTGGGGTTCTGAGGCTCCCCTATGGGGACAGTTCCACTTTTTGAAGTGTCAGTGTTGGGGAATATCTGTGGCCTATGAGGCCCATCTCAGGTTTGGGGATCCCCCAGTCCCTATGATCAGTGTTGGAGTACCCCCCTGGGAGAGCCCAGTTTCTTTGAGGCCCCAGGCCCTCTTTTAACTATCCTTGAATGGGTGTAACCCCTGTATTTATGGAAATAAAGTTCCATTTCCTCAGTGTGACGTGGCTCATTTCCAGGTGGAGGGGACCTGGCTCCGCAAGGAGGGTGGGGACGGAGCCTGAGGCCTGGGTGCCCAGATGCCTGGTCTAGGGTGGGGACCCCCTTGGTGTTTCCGCTCTCTCTCAATGCCCATTCTTTGTGGGTTCCTGATTCTCTGTGGGTTCTTTCCTGCTGAAGACAATTCTTTTCCTCTCCCAGTCCCCAAGACTGGGGGGTTAAGCTCAGGGCTCCAGTGGTTTGGGCCTCAGCCTCATGGGTGGAATGCGCCTGCCACCCCCAGGCTAGACGAGGGGGCAGAGGGTCAGGGTGGGCATTTTTTGTGCCCCTTTTGAGCTTTGTGGGCCAGAGCTGGGTGTAGGGCTGGACAATGAGCCTCCTCTTCCTTGAAAGAAGGAATTTTGGCTGAGACAATAGGGCCCTGTCTGCTCTGGCATGGGAGGTGGTGGCTGACTCAATTCTGCTCCCCCTAAGCCCTAACAAATGTCCTCAAGAGAGGGGGGCAGTTTTCCCCTTGGTGCCCTGGGCTGCCCCCCTGCCCCTTTGTGACGACTTGCCCTTCTAGCTTTCCTCAGCTGATCTTGCTTTTTCTCCCATAACCTGACCTGCTTTGTTCCCTGCAGCTGTTTCTCTGCCCCCTAACTCTCTCCTAGTCTGTGTCGGGTTGAAGGGGGTACTGGTGGTGTTACAGAGCTCGTAGCTTCTGATCTGGGGAGTCCAGAAATAGGGGCCTCAGAGGGTTGGAAAGATACTTCTAGGGAGCCCTTTGCTGGGGCGGGGATGAGGGTGGTGGGACTTGACCCTACTGAGCTGACCCTGCTGGAGCTAAGGAGGAGGCTTGTGGGAGGGGGCAGGAATGGGAGGACTCTCTGGCCCAGCCCCTCCTCTCCTTCTTAGCCTGCCAGGCCCACCCACCAGTCTGAGCTGCTTCTGCTGAGGCTGGTCTGCCTGAAGCCTCCCAGGAGAAAGGAGAAGCCAGGTGGGAATGGAGAGAGCGAGGAAGGCAGGTGGGGAGAGAATTTCAATGGGGAGAGTGGGGTTTACTCAGAGACTTAGGGTGGGCGTGAGTTGAGGGGTGTTTTGTTGGAGCAAGGGATGTGCATTTAGGGCGTACGTGATGGTGTGGGTGTGTGAGGGGAGTAGCAGTGTGTGAAAGGTGTGGAGTTTCCAGGTGCTTGGTTTATGTGTATGGTGTGAGGGTATATAGCTAGGGTTTTTTTTTTTTTTTTTGAGACAGAGTTTTGCTCTGTCACCCAGGCTAGAGTGCAGTGGCACGATCTTGGTTCACTGCAACCTCTGCCTCCCCGATTCAAGTGATTCTCCTGCCTCAGCCTCCCAAGTAGCTGGGATTACAGGCACCCAACACCACGCCCAGCTAATTTTTTGTATTTTTAGTAGAGATGGGGTTTCACCATTTTGGCCAGGCTGATCTCGAACTCCTGACCTTGTGATCCACCCGTCTCTGCCTCCCAAAGTGCTGGGATTACAGGCATGAGCCACCATGCCCGGTCAGCGAGGGTTTTGAAGGTATGAAGTTATAAGAGGGCATGTTAAAGACAGAAGGGTCGGCTGTGCATGGTGGCTCACACCTGTAATCCCAGCACTTTGGGAGGCTGAGGCGGGCAGATCACCTGAGGTTGGGAGTTCAAGACCAGCATGACCAACATGGAGAAACCCTGTCTCTACTAAAGAAAACAACAACAACAAAAAAACAAAATAAAACCGGCCGGGCATGGTGGCTCACGCCTGTAATCCCAGCACTTTGGGAGGCTGAAGTGGGCGGATCACAAGGTCAGGAGATTGAAACCATCCTGGCTAACATGGTGAAACCCTGTCTCTACTAAAAATAATAATAAAAAAAGCCGGGCGCGGTGGCAGGCACCTGTAGTCCCAGCTACTCGGGAGGCTGAGGCAGGAGAGTGGCATAAACGCGGGAGGCGGAGCTTGCAGTGAGCCTAGATCATGCCACTGCCCTCCAGCCTGGGCGACAGAGCAAGACCTATCTCAAAAAACAAAACAAAACAAAACAAAAAATTAGCCAGGCGTGGTGGTACATGCCTGTAAACCCAGATACTTGGGAGGCTGAGGCAGGTGAATCACTTGAACCTGGGAGGCAGAGGTTGCGGTGAGCCGAGATCGTGCCATTGCACTCCAGCCTGGGCAATAAGAGTGAAACTCCTTAAAAAAAAAAAAAAAAAAAAAAAGGAGGGTCATAAGGGGAGGGTTGACTGTGTGTCCCTCCAGGTTGTGCAGAGGGGATGAGAAGTAGGTTAGAGGGGAGGTGGAGGGAGTGTGCTAGGATGTGAGCTTTTATGATGCTGAATGGATCATGATATGCTAAGGATAGGATAGCGCTGGGTTGTACACACAGGTGTAGGCAATTCTGGTGGCTAATATGTAACAGTGAATGTCCTGACTCCCTTAGAGGGCACCTGCAGAGTGCCCTTGGAGGGACTAGTGCTGGAGAAATTAATAGGAGAGAGGAAGGACATCCATTAACCTTTTCTTGCCTGCAGCCTGTAGGGTCCAGCGTCAAAGAGAATCATGGGGTCCAGGGCTGAGCTGTGGACTCTCTTAGGCGGATTCTCCTTCCTCCTGCTACTGATATCAGGCGAGGGGGCCAAGGGTGGATTCCTCAGAGAGAGGTGACAACAGAGGGGGTGGGACCCGGGTGAGCTCTTCTCGGGAGCCTTCTGTTGGGGATGGGGCTTGACAGGAGGCAAAACTTAACTGAAAGTTTAGAATGGGGGTGAGAGGCTGTCATCTGGAGGGGGCGCGGGGCCTCAGTAGCCTCTTGCGGGAAGTGGGACTCCTGGCTCCCCAGGGCCTGGCCTACTCAATCTCTCCCACCTCATCCTCTGGCATGGACGCAGTCAGGGAGTCTGCTCCAAGCAGACACTGGTGGTCCCGCTCCGCTATAACGAGTCCTACAGCCAACCAGTGTACAAGCCCTACCTGACCTTGTGCGCTGGGAGGCGCATCTGCAGCACTTACAGGTGAGGGATGGGGAGACGGGACCCCAAGAACCCCGACCAGGACCTGTACTCAGGGTCCTGAGCCAGGCGCTGTGTTCCAGGACCACGTACCGCGTTACGTGGCGGGAGGTGAGGCGGGAGGTGCAGCAGACCCATGCAGTGTGCTGCCAGGGCTGGAAGAAGCGGCACCCGGGGGCACTCACCTGTGAAGGTGAGGCTGAGTCTTCCAGGCCTTGCGGGGAGGCGCGCCCCACGGAGCTGGGGAGCTGGGTCATCGGTTAGAGACTGAACCCCACTTCTCTGTCTGCAGCCATCTGCGCCAAGCCTTGCCAGAACGGAGGCGTCTGCGTTAGGCCTGACCAGTGCGAGTGCGCCCCCGGCTGGGGAGGGAAGCACTGTCATGTGGGTGAGTCAGCTTGTCCTCCCCACCTACCCTGGCGCTTTCCCCCGCCCCCTCTCTCAGCCCCTTCCTCTTTTCGGTAACTAGACGTGGACGAATGTAGGACCGACATCACCCTCTGCTCGCACCGTTGCCTTAACACCGCAGGCAGCTTCACCTGCGGCTGCCCGCACGACCTAGTGCTAGGCCTGGACGGGCGCACCTGCACGGAGGGGTACCCAGAACCCCCAACCAGTGCCAGCATACTCAGCGTGGCCGGTGAGTGGGCAGGAATACAGGCCACCGGGGGAACCCGGGACAGGCGTCCAGGCTTGGGCAGTGGCTATGTTCTTGGTCTTCTTTGTCCCTAGTTCGGGAGGCGGAAAAAGACGAGCGCGCTCTGAAGCGGGAGATTCGCGAGCTGCGAGGGCGCCTGGAGCGGCTGGAGCAGGTAAGCTAAGCCTGCTGGGTGGGGTGAGGCCAGACGTCACTATCCATACCCTGAGGCATCTCTTCCTTTGTAGTGGGCCAGTCAGGCTGGGGCCTGGGTCCGAGCGGTGCTGCCCATGCCGCCTGAAGAGCTGCAGCCAGAACAGGTGGCTGAGCTGTGGGGCCGGGGTGACCGGATCGAATCTCTCAGCGACCAGGTGCTGCTGCTGGAGGAGAGGCTAGGTGCCTGTGAGTCCTCACGCTCCTCCCGCCTTGACTTCTATTCCCCAACCTTCCCCAAGACCCCTCCCCATTCAAGCACGCCCTCTTTTCTCCAAGCCCCCTCTCCAACATTCACTGTCCTCATGCTTCTCCACTTCACCATCGTTCTCTTCTGAAATCCTGTCCCCAGCCCAATAGTTTCACTTACTGTTTGGTGAGAGTGGCAGTGTAGTCCACTCCAGGCTGACCACAGCCACTGTGTCTGCCATGTCATTAACCAGGCTCCTGTGAGGACAACAGCCTGGGCCCTGGCCTCAGTCATCGATAAGAAGCCTCTACAGCACCCCTAATTTATACAGAAGCCAGACCCACTAATCCTCTGGGATTGGCCGACTGTGAGCTGCAGATAAGGCTATCAACCACCAAAGAGCAACCAACAATGGAAACTTCAGAGGGCTGAAGAAAGGGGGAGGCCTGTGTTCTGGGCCCACCCCTGAGTCTTCTGGCTGGGGGCAGGCTGCCTGGGCAAGAACTGCTTCTTCGATTCCTTAACAAATGCAACCACCAAGCACCCAGATCTTTCTCTCTCTCTCTCTTTATTTTCAGTTTTTTGCTGTTATCCAGATAATTAATAAAAACCAACCACGCAAAACTGGGTCCCACCCTCTCCTTTTGCTCCCAGCCTACCTCCCCAGTTGTGGGAATAGGTCTGGAGCGAGAGGCAGGGAATGGCTAATGCCACCGGGAAGAAATGAAAACTGGCTCAGAGAGGGGGAAGCCTCAACAGAAAAAGAAATAAATTAAAAGCCCTCCTATCCCCTCCAGCCAGGGTTTGTTCCTTTCCCCAACTCCCCAGGGGGCAGAAGTGAGCGCAGCACCTGATGTCTGCTTCTTCCCCTTGTGTCTGGTGAAATGGTGCAGCAGGGCTGCAGGGGGCTGAGTGGGGTCAGGTCCACTGAAGAACTGTACCATGGGGACAAAGAAAACCAGAAATGTGGAGACTGAACTGGTATCCCAGAGAGTACACAACCCTGGGCATCTGGGCAAGGGCAGGCATGAGACCTCTGAATTAGAAGGGTCCAGCCCCCACTGACGGGAGGCTACACTGGGAGGGAAGGTGAAGGTGCTGAGGAAAGCTCCCAGGATGAGCCTGGGAGGACTGCTCCAGGTATCAGCTTCCAGCCACAGGGCGAGAAGTCCTCCTCACATGGATGAGTCCATTGAATCCATGGACTTTGGGGTGGGGGAGAATTGTTCCACAGAATGGATGAGTCCACTGGCCAATGTGGAGTAGAGGGGGAGAGAAGACCACACAGGAAGAGACTCCACTGTCGGGATGGAATGTTCCCCACCCTTGTGTAGGCTGAGTCACTGGAGATGAGGGGGAGGCAACTGTCCCACAGACAAAACAGTAGGAGGTGGGGGTCAAGAGTGGAGACTGCACGGAGGCAGGAGTCCATGGATGGGGCCAAGAGGGGGCAGGAGTGGCGCTGTATCCACATTCACTTCAGAAGTTGAAGATTCCAAAGAGGAGAATAAGTGGGGAGAGGGGAGACAAGGAAGAAGGTTTGGCCCTGCTTCAGGGCCCACTGGGTGGGTAGGTGTGGGGAAGAAGATGGGGACAGATGGGAGAAGAGCTCAGAGCCAGGGTTCACCCACCCCCGCCAGGCTTCTTCAGATAGTCACCACCACCCCGGCCATCGGTGGAGATTTCCCGGAAAACAGTGAGCATGGAGTGCCGGACTCTGTCAGCCAGAGCTGGGACGTCATCTGGTGTCAGCCCTTCTGTGGGCACTGGGGGCAGCACCCGCACCTGACATTGTCCTGGGGCAAGGGGAGCACCATCATGGCCTGTCCACCCAGGTCTTTGCCCACAGGTGGGGCCCAGCTTCTGAGGGATACTCTTCCTCAACCTTTCAGTTCTCTTCCCCCAACCCTGGACAACCATCCCTGGGCTTGCCAGCTGCCACTTCTGAGGCCCTTCTATACAAAGCCTTCTCCAATTCCCAGTCCAGACATCTCCTCAGCACTCCTCCAGCCCCCCTCCTCTGGGTTTGGCATTTACTGCTGAATGAGTGTTATTCATTACAGCTTTGTGCACACAGGCCTTATCTTTCCTGCTAGATTAGTAACAGCCTCTCTTGGTGGCACCAAGTGCTACCCACCTGGCAGGGTATGGTGGTGCTTGGTAAAGACTTATTGGCTGCTGTGGGTTAAACTAGATGACCGTGTGGACATCTCATGGCTCTGACACTGAATGATCCCCCTGCCTCACAGGGATGTCCTCCCAGCCTCTCAGGACACACCCGACCCCAGAACTGCTCAAAGCCCTCACCCGAGGTGAAGCGGCGCTCCTTCTTGCAGTAGAAGTCTTGGTAGGAGGACATGACTATGGGGACAATGGGAACCTGGGGAAGGGGTAAAGCAGGTCAGTCCACAGCTCTCTTCTGAGACTCCTACAATAAGCCCCTGCCCAGACATGAGGGAATGGTGGGGGTGGGCAGCTGAGTAGCAGAACAGGGAGCAGTAGTCACCTGGGCCTGCACTGCAAGATGGAAGGCGCCACGTTTGAAGGGCAGCATGGAGCCGTTGTGGTTTCTCGTTCCCTCAGGAAACACCCAGACCCTCACCTGGGGGAGAAAGAAGGTCAAGGAAGACAAACACATATGGAGGAGTCAGAGTAGGTGTGATGTTATAATGGGACCTCTGAGGCCCATTGGCCCTGCATATCAGTTTATTTACAACTATTCTACTTTCTATCCCTCCAATCCCCCATTTCCCCAGGATGACTCACGTCCTGGGTGAGCAGGGTCTGGGCGACCTCAGACATGACACTGATGGCATCCCCCGTGCGCTTCCGGTCGATGAAGATGACTCCTGCCAGCCAGCAGGCCAGCCCGGCAGAGCCAGCCCACAGTAGCTCACGCTTGGCAATGGGCACACAGCGGCCTGGCAGCACTTCCATCATCCCTTGGGCAGGGTGGGGGTGGGTGAGGATTGGGGCGGAGGCAGTGTCACAGAAAGCAACCCACCTCACCCAGATCATCACCCACTCTGGTAGGGACTGGAGGTGAAGGAGGAGACTAGGCAGGGGGAGCCCCAAGTGAAGGAAAGGGTAACCAAAGGTGTATGTACCCTGCTTATGAGGGCAGTTCTACCCAGGGAATGAAGGCCTGAGCGGGAGACAAGGGGGCAATGTCCCAGAGGAAGGAGAATTAAGGATCTCAAGGAGAAGATATTCTAGGGAAGGTTCCAGGAGGGGAGGCATGACTGGGGGAGGTGTGCCCTGTGGTGGGGTCTCACCAAGCAGATCGAGGGAGCTCTGGTGGTTGGAGACAACAACATAGGGCTGTGAGGGAGGGAAGTGGTGAGCCCCTCGCACCTCCACTCGGATCCCGTACAGGTATTTGATGTGGAGCAGCATTAGACGCAAGATCCTGTGGGGTCACGGCAAGGGGTCCCAGTGGGATCCATTGATGTCCATCTGCATGCCTCAGCTCCCCCCAACCCTACTGTCTTTCTGACCACCTTTGCAGTCCTCTCCCCATTCCCTGTCTCTGGTCTCTCTCAGTCTTTTCTACACACACCATGCCCCCTTCCCCCAATCCACTACTCGCTTTGTGCCCTTAGGTTCCCTCACTGCCCAAGACCCCTTGCCCCTCACTTCATGTTCTCAACGTTGCGTCCTCGCACGGCACACACAGGGATGGCGAGCACAGCCAGGAAGAGGATCCAGCCATTGTAGAAGGCCATCTTGAAGAAGTACTTGGCACTGGGGCTGCAGAACCACAGGGTGGGCAGCAGGAAGAGCAGCAGCAGGAAGAGCAGCAGCAGCAGCATCCATGCCCCTGGCCAAAACTCCATTCTGGCCACCTGCAGGGGATGGGGCAAGGGACAATCAGCCTGGTTTCTGGAGGACAGTGGGGTACGCAAGGCACAGAAGGCAGGGCTGGGGACTGGTGCTATGAGGACAAGGGCCAGAGAAACAAGCTGGGGCAGGGTTCCCATTGAAACCTTCCCAGGAAGCCTCTCTAGGATGAGGGTGGTGGAGATAGAGCTCAAGACTGCTCTCCCATTCCTCTTCCCGAAGGCTCCAGATGTATTCAGACAAGAGACACAAGACATGGACATCTACAACTCACAGATACCTGACAATAAATGACAATAAGAATGATAGTAACACTTGTAGCTGGTAAGGGTCTTATAATGGTCTATACTTGTGCCGTCCAAGAAAGTAGCCACCACCTACATGTGTCTACTGAGCACTTGAAATGCAGCCAGTCTGAACTGAGGTGTGCTGGAAATGTAAAATACACATCATATTTCAAAGACTGAATAAAAAACAAAATGTAACATATCCCATTATTAATCTTTTATACTGACTACATTTTGAAATTATAATCTTGGGCCAGGCGCGGTGGCTCACGCCTGTAATCCCAGCACTTTCGGAGGCCGAGGCAGGTGGATCACAAGGTCAGGAGTTCAGGACCAGCCTGAACAACATGGTGAAACCCCGTCTCTACTAAAAATACAAAAATTAGCCGGGCCTGTTGGCACATGCCTGTAATCCCAGCTACTTGGGAGGCTGAGGCAGGAGAATTGCTTGAACCCAGGAGGTGGAGGTTGCAGTGAGCCCAGATCACACCACTGCACTCCAGCCTGGGCAACAGAGTAAGACTCTGTCTTAAAAAAAAAAAAAGAGAGAGAGAAAAGAAATTATAATCTTTTAGATGTATCAGATTCAAGAAAATACATCACTAAAATTAATTTCACTTTTTGCCTTGTAAAAATGTGGCTACCATAAAAAAATTATATATGTGGCTTGCATTATATTTCTGTAGAACAGCACTGGTCTATACATTAAGTTAAACTCTTAAAATGATCCATACAATAGTCTAGAAAGTACTATTATTATTTACATTTTATAGGAAATAGGCCCAGAGAGGCTAAATAACTTACCTGAGATCATACAGCTCCTGAGGTAAATCTAAGCCGCCTGTGTTCCTAACCACTCGGTTATGCTGACACTGGTATGTACTGCATATACATATATGAACACAGCACACAGCATATATGGTGACTGTGACAGAACACCCACAGCCATATACCCAGGGGCCAAATGGCAAGATTAAAAGTTCATGTCACTAATGCCAACACACAGTCATACAAAGACTAACATGTTCACACACAGACACAGATTTATAATTACACCCAGTGACAGATAAAATAATGTGAATGCGTAACTAGTAACTAGAAAAATCCCTCTCCACCCAGGCAGCTCCCCCATTCCTAGGTAGACTTATGGACATACCTGGAATAGTTACAAAGACCAATCCTACCTCCACACAGGCAAATGAATCCAACTACCCTTTCCCTTCCTTCTAGTGACACTTTGCGTGGGCAGGTACAGGGTGTAAGGCCTCACCAAGTGAAAAATGGAGGGCAGGGAGTAAAGGGGACATAACAGCACTTGCCCTGGGAGAGGAAAGGGCTCAAGAGGAAGAGGGGCAGGAACACAGAACCTGTGTTCTAGGTTCTTCCTCCTTCCTCCACTCTGCCCCACTGTTGGGGGCAGGGTAACAATTCACAAAAAGGGTGTACAGGCAAATACCTGTCATTCCTACTGAGGCCACAGGCACTGTCTTCCCATGACGGGAAGGGCTATGCTCAAAGGTAAGACTATTGCCAAGCAAGAAGGTAACAGGCAATAGAGGAAACAGGAGACCCTGTCAGTTGGAATACTGTAGGCTTTCTGAGCTGCTCCATCCCACTGCCCCTACAAGTTCAGAACAGTATCATTTCTCCCCTGAACTATGTGGAGTAGGCTCCTAACCCCCTCCAATCCATCTTCCACGTAGCAACCACAGAGATTTTTCTGTTAATACAAATTTTTCTGAAACGCAGAGCATTTCCCTGTCTTGCCTAAAGGTTCTTCTTGACAAGTTGACTTCTGCTTACATCTTCGACCACATCCTCACAAAACTCTTTTTGTTCCAGTCAAACTGATTCACTTCAGTTCCTCAGACACCATGATCTTTCACGCTTCCGCACCTTGAACATGCTGTTCCCTTTGGCTGGAATGCCCGGATCTTTTCCTGCCTCACACAGCTCAGTGTCACCTTTCGGAGGGCTGCCTGAACCCCTCCAGGCCTGTGCTTTCATTACACTTTTATCTTGACCAGTGGGTCTTGAAGTGTAGAAATGCAAATTATTAGACTTCACCCCAGATCTACTGAATCAGAAATTCCGGGCATTAGGTCCAGCAATCTATTTTTCTTTTTCTCACTCAGACTGGTTTTGAACTTCTGGCCTCAGGTGATCCTCCTGCCTCAGCCTTCCAAACTGTTGGGATTACAGGTGTGAGCCATCGTGGCTGGTTAGCAATCTGTATTTTAACAAGCCCTCTGGTGAGTCTGATGTGCGCTTGAATTTAAGAACCACTGATCTTGACAACACACTATGTGTTGACTGGCATTTTTGTTTCCCTCCTTAGGCTGTAAGCAGCTTAAGGACAGGGACTCTGTCTTATCTCCAATACCAGGACAATAGGAGATGGAGTAGGTGCTCAACAAACACTTGCTGAACAGATTCTAAGGCTATATACACACCCACAGAGCCACAACTAATGACAGAGATGGCAGTTCTGATCACAAATTAGATAGTTACCCTCTTGAGTAGTACTGACTACTAAAAGAAAAGTCACTGAGAAAGTAACGAACACATGAAGCCTAATGGTAACCGACTCTGAATAGATACATGCAATACATGGCCATAATGAAGGCAGAGTAACAATAATCAAGAAGAGGTCATGTCACAAGAGAAATGCACAGAATGGGATTAACATGCCACAGGGAAAGATGCTGCTCTCATCAAATGTGTGCCAACAGTGAAAAGAATGGAAGATAATGTCCATAAATACCAACGATGGGGTTCACAGCAGGATTGACCCTGTGACATGCATTGATCCCATGGACACAGACTGTACACAGTCACTGGAAAGATAACGTTTGTGTAGAGAGGTATGGGCCAGGGAGGTCACCAAGGTAAGGCATGCGGGGATGGTTCTTTGCAGACCTGGAGACCCAGTTACCTTCTTCTCTAACACTTGATATTAAGTGACCCTTTTCAGAAAACAAAAGTCCAAGGATTTAGAAATGCAATGGAGGGCCAAATTTAATGAGCGTACGGTTCATAAAATACACTGACGATAAATTTATAACACACATTCTATGGTCCTGTTACATCAGTGTATTGTGCAAAGGGGCATACACATGTGTTCTGTGAACTGTGACTGGGAAAACACAGCAAACGGGCCAACTGAGTCAGACATGAGTGTGTAGGCTATTCAGCCAAGCCATGGGATCCCACACATGAAGACTACTGCAAATGGTAGGACCACAGACATGTCAGCCAAAGTAAAATAAGGTATATAACCTTCACATGCTGAAATAAACATGCCAAAACATAAAACGTGCAAGTAACAGGAAACTATAAAACAGGTGCAATATATGAAAACTCACACACATGCGGTACTTGAACATGTCAAAACTGGATGTGAGACGTGGACACAAGAACGGAGAATGGGCAATTCTGATGGAAAATAACACACCATTTCTACACAGCCTATGGAGAGCATTGGGACAACCTAGTTGCACACAAGCCATTAAACATGTCAAAGGCACACAGACTCAATGTAGAAAACATGGCTCCCATAAGGCATTTGTGTGTAAGGGTCCAGCAGTGTGGAAGGCCACTGAGAAACAAGAGGTCCTGTGCCTAGATGGAAACAGAGGGGCCTAAGGGTATATTCCTAAGAGGCAAATTCTGCTGGCCTTCTCCCCTCATGACCCCCGCAAGAGTCATGTGGGGTCAAAGGGCAAGAAAAGGAATTGGGGAAGGTGTAGGGAATTCCCTCTCCAGGATTCCCTGTGCACACTCCCAGTCCCAAATTCACAAGGGTTTCCATTTCTCCCCCTCCCGTGTCTCTTCCATCCTTCCTCCCTCTCAGGTCCCCTCTCCTATCCCCAGCAACCCTCTTCCCAGTCAGCCCCTCTCCTTTCCCCAGCAACCATCTCCCCCAGTCGGCCCTCCCAGACCCAATCTCTCCCCTTCCCCTCATCCTAGTCGCTTTCAGCACCCTCTTCCCTCCTCCTCCCATCCCTTTCCCGCCCACACCTCAGTGGGGTGGGGGGCCTGGGGGGCTGGCCCCCTCCCCAGCCAGGCTGCGGCAGCGGTGGTGGCGGATGGCTGTGTCTCTGCCTCTGTCGGGGTGTCGGTGCCAAGGGGGCGACGGGATTTGGGGGTGTCCTAGCCCCGGCCGATGGAGGGGAGGTGGGAGTGGGAGGTTGGGCCCATAGCGGTAGGAATGGTGGGGGGTTGTCCCCCCAGCACCCTCCCTCCCTCCCTCCCTTTCTGCTGTCTTTCTGAGGGCTGGGGCTTCTGCTGCCGCTATTCCCCCCCCCACCCCTCCCCAACGCCTGCTGGTTTCCGGGGCCGGCCAGGAAGTGGAGGGCGGTGATGGGCAGCCTGTTTTGCCAATCGTCTCCCAGAAACTCAGGCATCTCCTCCCCACGTCTACCAGTGTACTCTTGGGAGCCCCGCCCCAGGAGGGCTCAGGCGGGCCCTCCCTCTGCCTTTGCTCCCATCTCTGGCTCCAGCTGCATCTTTTTATTCTCTAACTCCCTTTGAGTTCTGGATCCCCTGGTGCTGTATTTCTCCTTCGGCACATTCCTTCCTTTATTCTCTATCAGCTCTCTTTTAACTGCCACTTTTACTTGGTCTCTTTTTTTCTCAACTCCGGTTATCTGCTGCTTATTCCCCGCAACTATTCTTAAGGACCCCTCTTCCCGTTCCCCTTTCAATTCTAAGCATTTATCAAACACCTACCTACCATATGACAAGCATTAAGTTCACCTCTCTTCTTTTTCTCTCCAGGACTCCATCTCACCCCATCTCACTCTCCAGTCCTCTGGTCTGGTTTCCTTTGCCCTTTGTCCCTCACTATCTCCCAGCTGTCCAGCTCCCCCCTCCACCCGCCTTCTCTGACCTTTAAAGAGATCTCTTTGGCCTCATCCCTGACCCTTTCCTTTTCCATGCTCTTTTCCTTCTGTACTTTTTCTTTCCTACTTCCTTCCTATCAGTCTCCTTACTTCCCCAAGCTGAGACAACCCCTTCTCACAACATACAATATGGGTACATCTTTTCTTCCAATGGAAATTGGGCGTCAGGAGTGCTTTCTAGAAAAAGACAAAGTGAGGAAGAATGCCGATTCCTCTGGATGAGGATGCCTCCTTAATTTGGTAGCCATGTATCTAGTTTTCCACCCCCTCTTCTCTTCCTCCACTCCCATTATCACTTTACTAGGATCATTCCATCACTTCACTCTCCTTCATTTCCACCTTTTCCTCTCAATATCTTAAACCTCCAGTTTCCTGAATCCTCATCTGCCCCAGTCCTTCTTTACGCAACTGCTAACTTCTCATCTTTCCTTACTTTTGAGTCACGTGGGATCTTTTATCAAGGTCCCGCCTCTAGCCACACCTTTACCCTGCATGAGTTTACATGCCCTCGGGAAGAGGATTGGTAGTGGGAAGACTGTTACCTAGTTCTGCTCCTTTGGACACAGTGAGGGTCAGTGATTGTAGGAAAGGCCCAAACTCTCCGGGGTCCAACCCTGGAAGAAGACCCTATTTCTGATGGGCAAATTATAAGGAGGAAAGGGCGGGTCTTAAGGAGACCCCCCGCGGGTCTCCTTAAAAGGGGCGGGCCGTGCCCCTTCTGCACCAGTCACAAAGAGGGTGAGCCCAGAGCTTTTCTGCTCTGAAGGTTTAAAACGGAGTTTAAGTCAATCCTGTTCTACTCTGTGTACAACATTAAGAAAGGAGTGGGCCTTTAGTTCAGTTTTGCTCTGTAAATCACCTAAAGTGGGGAGGGCTGAGTCGTCCAGCCGAATGAGTTAACACCAGCTCCGCAGATCGATGTTCGTACTATCCAAACGTCGGGCTAATCCCAGTTCTGCTCCCTTAACTAAAAGTGAGGGGCAGACCCAAGTTCTGCTCTCTACGTCACCAAAGGAGGTTGGAGCCATTTTGAACCCTGCGACCCTAGTGTTTTCCCTCTTTCCCTAGCTCTTCGCCGTCTTTCCCGATGTCGGCCAATCAGGGGAAAAGGAAAAGGCCCAATCAGCAGAAAGTCCACAGCTGAAGGACCCGGATGAAGCGAGCCGAGGACTTGGAAGTGCAAGCCTCGCCAATTGTAGAGCAGTCACCATAGCGACAAGATAGGGGTGAAGAGCTGGAACAAGATAAGGTTCAACCCTCACGCGATTGGCCCACCCCCGTCCCGCCGCGTGCTGCGCAGGCGCGTTTTACCTAACCACCATTTTCCGTCAAGTTCTAGCCAATGAGTTGCTTTGGAGCCATACGCTCCAAAGTCCAATAGCAATCCGGACATTCTCAGAAAGAGGAAGTGAAGGAAAGAAAGGGGCTTATAGTGGGCGAGGTCTATAGGTAGTCCCGAGCAAATTGCTTCTGGCTTGGGTTATGACTGACAACTACTCAGACGAATAAAGCCCTCCGCGGCCAGGCGACAGGGTGTAGCGAGTTATTACCAATCCCTTGGCATTGCACATTGACTTAGACCGTATCAGCCAATAGCCGTTGTGCGAAGGCAGGACCACACTAACCTTTTCCCGCCCCTATCCTTTGGGCCAATCCTTTCTTTTGAATTCTTTGTGATTGGCAGGCATTCAGACCAATAGTGATTAGGAAACCTTCACGCCTGCCCAACGATCCTGGGCAGGAGGTGGTTTCTGGTTTGTTGGGGCGTGTGTATGTGTATTTGGGGGGACTGAAGGGTACGTGGGGCGAAACAAAACCGGCCATGGCAGCAGCGGAGGAGGAGGACGGGGGCCCCGAAGGGCCAAATCGCGAGCGGGGCGGGGCGGGCGCGACCTTCGAATGTAATATATGTTTGGAGACTGCTCGGGAAGCTGTGGTCAGTGTGTGTGGCCACCTGTACTGGTGAGAATCGAGGAGAGGGGCGGAAGGCGGTGGGTCTCGCTTATATACTGGGGAGGCTAGGAGCGAATAATCATACAGTCATACAGATAATCGGAGGGCACGTTCCCATAGGTGAGGCCCGACAGGAGACATACGACTTTGCTGGTATGTGTGGGTGGGAGTATAATGTCTCTACGGTCGAGATCTGTGGAAAGAAAGGTCTTAGGAACCAGGAGCGGGGGCATGTGATGTGCTGAGAAGAGGAGGTGGGGCGGGGAGTGGCGGGACAATGTGAGACCCGAGCCACCTTACCCCAGAGAAGCGAGGGGTCTTAGCTGTGCAGGTGGAAACAGATGAGACACAAAGGTTAAGGGGAGGCACGCATCAATTGAGTCGGGGAGAACCAGGAAATATGGATCACATTCAGATGAGATCTGGGAGGGGGCTGGTACGAAGGCACTGTGGAGAGGCAGATTTGAAAGGTTAAAGGGTCGTAAAGACAGGGACATTATTGAGCTTGAAAGTGAGGAAAAGGTGTAATGGGAGAATGTGCTAGTAAAGGGGTTTGGTTTGGAGTGATGGGGTTGGGGTTGAAAAGCGGGGTTGGGGTTGAAAAGCGGAAACCCGGAAAGAGGTGGCTAAAGGGAATTAGAAATTAACTTGAAAGGCAGAAAAGAGAGGGCACGAAAATTTGTACGTGTTTGTTGGGGAGAGGAGAAAGGAGAGGGTTGAGTGTGTTGAGGATGGACAGAGCTTTAGATGTTGGAAGATCAGACAAGCAGGAAGGCCAAGTTGGCTGGCATGGTAGAGGTTGCAGAAAATCTGAAAAGCAACAGCAGGTTGCCTGGAAAGAGGAGTGAGATGGGATTCTGTGAAGTCTGGGGGTCTGTGTCTCTCTTTTCTGTAGCTAGTTTGACTTTTTTTTTTTCTCCTCCATCCAGTTGGCCATGTCTTCATCAGGTGCGTACTCGGGAGATGAAGAGGGAAATGGGGAGGTCTGAGGAGCTGGAAGACCCTCTTGTATACTGGAAACCACTTTTTTTCTCCCCAGTGGCTGGAGACAAGGCCAGAGCGGCAAGAGTGTCCAGTATGTAAAGCTGGGATCAGCAGAGAGAAGGTTGTCCCACTTTATGGGCGAGGGAGCCAAAAGCCCCAGGATCCCAGGTGAGAGACTGGAGGTGTTGCTCAGGGAAGATTGAAGGCTTCTGCCCTTGGAAAACGGTGTGGAAGATGACAGGAGAAAATTCTCTGTTAACTTTCTCTCTCCTCTTCCTCAGATTAAAAACTCCACCCCGCCCCCAGGGCCAGAGACCAGCTCCAGAGAGCAGAGGGGTGAGTCTTCCTGTCCAGTTGTGTCCCTTCCTTGACAGGTTTTCCGGCTTCCCATCTGACTTTTTCTACCTCCCTAGGCATTCCAGCCATTTGGTGATACCGGGGGCTTCCACTTCTCATTTGGTGTTGGTGCTTTTCCCTTTGGCTTTTTCACCACCGTCTTCAATGCCCATGAGCCTTTCCGCCGGGGTACAGGTAAGAGTCACATTCAGCTCCCATCAGGGAGCCCTGTGAATCCCCTCAGGCCCCCTCCCAGCCTAGAAGCATATGCTTCCACAGCTTTCCTCTCTCCCACAGGTGTGGATCTGGGACAGGGTCACCCGGCCTCCAGCTGGCAGGATTCCCTCTTCCTGTTTCTCGCCATCTTCTTCTTTTTTTGGCTGCTCAGTATTTGAGCTATGTCTCCTTCCTGCCCACCTCCAGCCAGAGGAGAATCAGTATTGGGGGTCCCTGCTGACCCTTCCTTACTCATGGACCCCCTTGACCTCTCTATTTCTGTTGGCTAAGGCCAGCCCTGGACATTCTCCAGGAAAGCTTGGGGAGGAGGAGTGAAGTCTGTGCATAGATGGGAGAGCCTTCTGCTCAGAAGCTCACTCAGTAACATTATAATTCTCTGCCCTGGGGAAGGAGGATGGATTGAGAGAATGTCTTTCTTCTCTTCTAAGTCTTTGCTTTCCCTGATTTCTTGATTTGATCTTGAAAGGGGGGCAAAGCTCCCTCTGACTCTTCCCCCACTCCCATCTTATTGATTTAATTTAATTTTTCACTCCCCAGAGTCTAATATGGGTTCTGACTCTTAAGTGCTTCCTCCCCCTTACTACCTCCTTTAATACAAATTCAATAAAAAAGGTGAAATGTATTGATGGGATCTCTTCCCAAGTTTGCCCCCCACCTTCCTCCCTCCCTCCCTCCCTCTCTTGACAGAAGCATCTTCTCCCCAACTTGAGTAGATGTTTGGTGCAGTGTGGGGGAAGTGTGGGGGTGAGTCCCTTTCCTTCAGGGCCCTCAAGGGTGTAGGGGTGAGGTTGTGTCTCACACACATATACACAGACACACAAGAGCAAGATGTGTCAGGTGTTTACTCATCATTGTGGGGGGCTCTGGTTGTAGAAGAAAGTTTGGCAAGGTGGGGTTATACAGGAGAGAGTTGGTCTGGGGCCAGAACAGTTCAAGGGAAAAAGAAAAGGGAGCTGATGGATGGGATCTCTCTGTGGGCCCCTCAAGGCCCTCCAGTACCACTCTCGCCTGCCTCAGGTTCCTCCGACTGATTCAGCTCTGCACGCTCCTCCTCTTCCTCCTGGTTTTCTGAGGCCTTCCTGAGGAGGAAGATTGTGGAGAATGCTGCACGTTGTCCTTCCACCCCCCACCCCTCTTCACTTGCTGCCTGGAAGCCCTAGGTCTGAGGAGTCTGGCTTTCTCCACTCACCTCTCCTCTCCTTGGCGTCGCCGCCTTTGCCACAAGATGACCCCAATGAGCAGAGCGGCTGTCCCCAGACCTCCCAGGATCCCCAGGGCCAGGGCTAGAGTTCCTGGCCCTGATCCTCCCACAGAGCCTGTAGGGAGACAGGGAAAATTGAGAGCACAGCCCCCACCACTCACCATTCCTTTCTTTTTTTTTTTTTTTTGAGATGGAGTCTGGCTCTGTTGCCCAGGCTGGAGTGCAGTGGCCGGATCTCAGCTCACTGCAAGCTCCGCCTCCCGGGTTTACACCATTTTCCTGCCTCAGCCTCCCGAGTAGCTGGGACTACAGGCGCCCACCACGTCGCCTGGCTAGTTTTTTGTATTTTTTTTGGTAGAGATGGGGTTTCACTGTGTTAGCCAGGATGGTCTCGACCTCCTGACCTCGTGATCCGCCCATCTCGGCCTCCCAAAGTGCTGGGATTACAGGCTTGAGCCACCGCGCCCGGCCACCATTCCTTTCTTGTTGACCATCCCCGCAGTCACATGTGTTGGGGGCTATCTTCTGCTTCCCTGACTTTATCGAACCCCTCACCTGCAGTTGGCCCCTCCTCGCCTGGTTCTGGAAGACAAAGTTGAATCCAGTCAGAAAGGAAGACTTCGGGTTGAGAGAGGGTTATTTAGTGGGAGCTCCAGTGGAGTCTTTCCCTTTCTTTTTTTTTTTTTTTGAGATGGAGTTTCGCTCTTGTTGCCCAGGCTGGCATGCAATGGCAGGATCTTGGCTCACCGCAACTTACGCCTCCCGGGTTCAAGTGATTTTCCTGTCTCAGCCTCCCGAGTAGCTGGGATTACAGGCGCGTGCCACCACAACTGGCTAATTTTGTATTTTTAGTAGAAATGGGGTTCCTCCGTGTTGGTCAGACTGGTCTCGAACTCCCAACCTCAGGTGATCCACCGGCCTCAGCCTCCCAAAGTGTTGGGATTACAGGCGTGAGCCACTGCGCCCAGCCGTCTTTCCCTTTTTTTAGTTCAGAGGGAAGAAGGGAGAGGCTTGGCTGCTCTCTTGGCAGAATTTGGGTGGGGCGGGGAGGTTTGGGTGTGGGTGCACGGAGGGAGAGGTGGGCTGGCTCTTGGGGGTAAGGCCAGAATGGGGCAGGAAATTAGAGCCTGTGCTATCCTGCACCCTAGCCCCAGGGTCTATAGGGCTTGGAGAGAGGTCTCACCGATGATGCTGATGCTGACAGCACGGCTTTCCTGGGGCCCGTGGCTGGGATGGGTGGCCACACACCTGTAGGTTCCCTGGTCCTGAGGCCCCATCTCAGGGAGGATCAGCACAGGGCTGGGGGAAAGGGGTAAGGGCACACCCTGGTGGGGGAAGGGGAGAGGAGACTATTTCAAAACTCTTGTCTTTTTGTCTCCACATCTTCAAATACCCTCTCTTCCTCCTCAGCTCCTAGCTTGCCTTTCCCTTGTTAGCCCTCTGCCCTCCCTGTTGCTAGTTATGGTTCACCCTACCTCCCAGCCCCTCTCTCCAGGTCACTCACATCCTTCATCCAGTGGATCTGAGGAGAGGGCTGGGCAGGGACTTCACAGGTCAGGGTTACGGTTCCACCAGGAGCTACTGCTCCACCTTCTGGCTCTACCACCAATTGGACCTCCTCCAGAGGCACAGGCTCTGGGAGTTGGAAGGGTTATGAGGTGGAGAGTTACACTTGTGAGTGATCCCAGTGGCCATGGGCTTGACTCCTTCTTTCCCTAAGGGTCTGACTTCCAGAATGCACTCACATGAGCTTGGAGCCCTCCCCACCTCTGCTCACCCCAGACACGGGGCTGGATAGGGGCTGTGTGCAAGGCCCGGCGTCGGGGAAGGCCTGGGCTGAAGCTACAGGAGAAGGTGGGATGGGGATTTCCTCCCCGGGCTGGGGTCACCATTAGCTCCGACTGCAGTGTGAAGAGCCCCGTCTCAGGGTGTCTCCTGGTCTCTTCCTTCACAGATACTCCTATGGTAGGAGGATAAGACAAATTATCCCAGGGTGGGTGTGGGAGTGAGATCAGGGAGAAGGCAGCTTGGGGGGCACCTTCGGACTCACCCTTCTCATTAGGCACCAGGGGCTTCCCATCCAAGTGCCAGCTAAGAGTCCCTGCAGGGTAGCTTCCCTCTGACACACATGTCCCCACCTGGGGAAAGAGTGGTGACCTCAGAATCCTTTGAAAATGAGAGATGCCACACACCCACACATACTCGCCTCCTGTTCACAGGACCATTTTCTACTTCTCCTTCCTTTCACTACCTTATTGGGAACACCAGCCGTGAGTTCAGAGGCAGAATCTATAATTTCCGGCTTCCCAGGAATCTCTGAAGGAGGAAAAATCCAATCAGAGGCTGTAATTTTGAAGGTTCTCAAACTCTGTGTGTGGAAATGGGGCCAGTGGAAGTCAGAGGCCCTCATGGGCCAAGGCTAGGGTTGAAGGCTTTTTCTGAGATAAGAGAGGGGGCCTTGGAGAAGGCCCTGGAATTCTTACGGTAGACACGGACTCGGTAGTTGGACTTGGTCTCCTTTCCATTCCTGTTCATTGCCTGGCACCGGAAAATCCCCTCATCCTGGATCCCGACAGCCGGAAGGAAGAGGGAGCCGTTGGGAAGGATACGAGCCACACTATCCCAGGGGCCTCCCTGGGGAGATAGGACCTTCCAAGCTTCTGTCCGGCCTGTATTCTAGAAGCAGAGAAGCAGGGCCTAAACAGTGCAAGGCCTTTGGGAAAGTACTGTGAGGCAGAGTGACAGGGATCCGAATCATTGCTGGTCTCCCTGGAAGTTGGGAAGCTGCAACAGGATCCCCACTTACCAGTTTCCATTCCAGCTGCTGGGGTGGTTTCTTGGGGGCCCCCTTACACTTCAGCACCAGTGGCTCACCGATCCGGGCTGTGATGTTTTGAGCACCTACTACTGCCCCTGGGAGACAGCACCGTGGTAGAGGGGCAGGAAGGTAATGAGGGCTAACAAAATTTGGACAGGGTGCGTGAGGGACCTTGAAAAGCAGTTCCCTGGGTTCTAGGAAAAGTTCTAGGGCAATTGGGGTATGGGGTTCAAGTGCTTTCTGCAGGAAGGATCAGTGGGGTGGGGGGAGTGGCTCACCCCACAGACTGAGGACCAGCACCCAGGCTCCAACTGCTGCTCCGGCTGCCATCCTGCTTCCTTCCAGGCTCATAGCTCTGTCTGCCCCTCTCCGCGCTGTGGCCTCCGCCCTAGGTGGGGCCTGTACCCTCTCTCCAGCCCCCATCTTTCAGTCATCTTGTCACAGGGAATGCTAGGAATTCATACCTTTGGGACAAGAGTCCTTCAGGTACTAGAGAAATAATTATCACCCCACCCCTGGGCACTACCAGCCTCTGGGCACAGTCACTTCCCTGGGGGATGGGGAGTGTACCCTCTAGGGTCTCATTCCCTCAGAGCCCCCTATCCTATTTATTCCATCAGTCCATCAGGGCTGCCTGGTGACCCACTGGAGCCCCATGTTGACTGGGCAAGGTTGCATCAATAGGGTTCAGGCCAGACTGTTGTTTGCAAGGGTGCAATTGGGACTGCATCGTGAAGGCAAGGCTAGGGGACGGGAGAGAAACCTGTTTGGAGCTTCGTGAAAGAAAATATATTTTTTTTTTTCTGGGGTTTCTCATGTTTTTTGAAAAAAATTCTCAACTAAACCCAGGAAAAAAAGAAACTTCTTTATTTAAAACTGCATTTTGTTTTTTTTCTGTGAAACTACACAAGTTTACAAGTGAGGAGAGAACTGCCCCCAGCCCATGCCTCCCACCCCCCCACCCATCACACTTCCAACCTGTCCCCAGTCCTGCCCAGATCTTTAATGGGAGGGGTTCCCCACTCTGACAGTCTTGCAAAATCCTGAGAATGTCTGAGGGGATCAGATGGTAGGGTTTAGGGCTGAGGATGGGACAGTGTTGATTTTACTTTTCCCCCACACCTGGCTTTTTGCAACCTCCTCCCTCTCCCTACCACTTGATTTTGGTGTGACAAAAAGATACCTCATTTCTGGGGAAATTGAGGAAGATACATATACAAGCACCCCAACCCATATTTAACATATTTGGCAATAACTCCCTTCCCATTCTTCCCCCTCCAATTTTCAAATAGTAGTTTTTTAAAAAATTAAAGACATGTCACTCACAGGGGAAGATGGCATCTTCGATTTCCTCAAAATTACTGAGTCCAGCCCTGCCCAAGGTTTGTGGGAAGAAGGGGGATGAGAGGCCAGCAGGGCAAGCCCTTCACTGCCTCCACACCAAATGCGGCAGAAACTGCCTGCATGAGCAAAGAACACGTAAGTGATTTTAGGGGGCAAAGCTTGGTGCCCTGTAAAATTTACTTCCTGATGGACAGGCCTGGAGCCAGGGAGGCCCCTTCACCAGTTCTGTTTGTCCCCCCTTTCTCTTACCAGGACCCCTTTGGCTATCACCCCTAATATGGGAAAGTAAGAAATTAAAAAAAAAAAAAGACAAGAAATCAACATATTTATAAAAAAAAAGCTACTTCCCCAAACTAAATTAAAAATTAAGAACCACCACCACCACCAAAAACAACAACAACAACAAAAAAAACAGATGGATCCCAGGGTTTCTTTTTCTTTCTTTAAAAAAAAAAAAAAGTTCAACCCCAAAGCCCAGTCAATAATTCCCTAAAGTAGCAGAAACTCCCTCCGAGGTAGATATCTGAGTCAGACACTCTCGTCCACCGAGCGATTCTATTGGTTTAAGATGAGCTGCGTATGAGGTAAGTAAGCCGTCTGGAGGGGCGGGGGTGGGGATGCATGGGGGCGTGGCCCATGTCCTCTGTCCAGAAGTCATGTCCCCATTTTTGGCATCTCTGGTTGGGCAGGGCTGGCGTCTCCACAGATTCCAGAACATATAAGGGGGGTGGGGAAGGGAAAGTGGGGGAGCCCAGAGAGAGAAACAGAATAGTTGCAAGTGGGAGTGTGTGTGTGAGGTGTGGGAGAGGGAGAGAGAGGAAGACAGGAGAAAAAGGGGTCTGAGAGATAGGTTTCTGGGTATATGTATGTTTCTGTGTAAGAAAGAAAGCGAGAGGAAAAAGATGGAAAAAAGGGGGAGACAGACCCCACACTCCCCTTAGAGGCCCCATTCTTCCTGCCATGTAATTAGCACCCCCAGCACAGAGAGTCTAGTTAGGGAGGGGATGACCCCATTGGCCCTTCTCTGTCTTGTGCTTCTCCTGTATTTGGGGTTTGTCCTCTGGAAGCCTGTGTCCTCTTCAAGAGTCGCCTTGTGAGAGCCCCCACCCCTGTGACCCTGAGGGGCAAGATCAGTTGGAGGTGTCAGAGTGAACGCTCCCTGGTCCCTCCGTTGGGGATGTCACTGAAGAGGGGGTCACAGCCTCCTGCCAGCTGCCATTTGCCTGGAAGAAGAGAAAGACAGAGTATAGAAAACAGACAAGGCCCCAGGAGTCCTGTGTGGGCACAACACTACTAGGGAAAATGCCCCTCTGTCCTGCGAGAACTGGACGGAGAGGGGCTTCAGGATCCACTCACTCTCATTTCCCGTGGGCTGTACATCTGGCCTCCCCCGAGGTTCTCCCCATAGCCCCCAGGCCCCATCGAGTGTCGGAGTGATTCCACCTGCGGGCAGCGGAGGAAGGTGTGACAGTGAAGAGAAGCCTCAGAGGAAAGAGGTCTTGTATCCTCAAGTAGGGGAAATGGAGTTGGGGAAAGCCCTACTGGAGAGGAGATGGGCATCTGACCTGGGAAGCAGAATAGGAATCTCCGTTGAGCCCAGGCATCCCCAGAAACATGTCTCCAGATCCTGAGAGATTGAAAGAGCCGCCAGAGCCTTGTGGGGGGCAGAGAGGGAAGAGTGTAATAGAGCCCGTGATGGTAGAAAGGGGATGAACCACAACTCTCAGCTCTTGTGGGGACGTGCTACTATACTCCAATTATCCACAAAACAACATTCCAACACGCAGAAAGAGCAGGCTGTTCCTTAGCCTCCCATGGCCACCCGTGGGAAGAAAGGCAGAACTAAGTTCACTGGAGTGGCCTCTGTCCCTTGACATCTCCAGCCTATCTCAGCTTGGTCCCTGTCACCCCAAAAGGCCCCCTCTCTGCTATGATCTTGCCTAGGTAGGAAGTGGGAACAAAAGCAGGAAGTGTGCAAAACAGTCAGCCAGGGTGACAGTGGGATCCACCTGCAGAGGAAGGGGGTGTCGGGGAGCTGGTGCGGCTGTGGCCCCCCTGGGTGACTGACACGGCGGTCTTGACAGCATAGATGTTTGCCTCCTCTTGGAACTTTCCGATGTTTTTCTTATACCGAATCCTCTTGTTGCCAAACCAGTTGGAGACCTGTGGGGCAGAAAGGAGGGTCGGGTAGAAACATTTGCCTCCGAAGTCCTTCACTGAATAAGATGTGAGTGACAGCATTTGTTTTTCTTCTGGTCTCACTATGCTGTTGCCCAGGCTGGTCTCCAACTCAAGTGATCCTCCCACTTCAGCCTCCCTAGTAGCTGGGATTACAGGAACACACCACTGCACCTAGCTGAGATGCGTGCATTTTGCCTGACAACTCCTCCCAAAACCTCCATAATACCTGAGACACGGTGATGCCACACTTCTTGGCAAGCTCCTCCTTGGCCTCCTCACTAGGATATGGGTTACTCAGGTGGGAGTAGAAATACTCATTGAGGACCTCAGTGGCCTGTTTGCTGAAGTTACGGCGCTTTCGTCTACAGAGAAGGGAGAAGAGTGGTGAGGAGGGTGTTGGTGTCCTGGCAGGGCTGTCACATGGCATGACCCCAGAGTCACCATTGTCATGGAGTACCACGTTGTGCAGCATGGCAGCTCAGGGTCTTGGAGAGGAATGGGAAGGAGCCCAGTGCTGGGGGCCAGCTCGGGTCCCTGGGCCCACCTGGCATCCAGGAAACGGGAACGCAGGATCATGACAGCCTCGCAGGTGCTCTGCTTCAGCTGCATCTGGATGGCGCTGAACTTTCGATGGATGATGCTCACCATGCGTTCCATCTCTTTGGGGGCCACGGGCCTGGTGCGGCTCTGCTCCCTCAGCAGGTTCATGACATGGGTCGTGAACTCATTACATGCCTGTAGTGGGGGCCAGTGGGCTGCTGAGAAGGAGCCCTTTGGCCATGGGATTCCCCTGCAAGAGCCCTTCCCTCCACCCTCCTCTCCTTACCTGCTCATACTTCTCCAGCTCCGAGTGGTATATGTGACGGATCTGGGCAAGTTTGCTGCGATAGTCCGAGTGTTCGATGGAGTTGTCAGGGGACACGCCGCCCCCAGAGGCTGCAGCGGCTGCAGCTGCTGCTGCTGAGCCGCCCCCTTTCTCGGGCCCAGCCACACCCTCTGCCAGAAGCATGTTGTCCAAGCGCATCAGCTGTGGGTCCACCGGCTCCTCCTCCTGGGAGCTCCGAATGCTGAGGCCTAGCATGCAGGCGAGTGGACTTAAGGACCCAGGGACCCCATACCCAGTGCTCAGTCCTCCTGGTGCTTCCTGGAGAGCCAAGTTCCCAGGCTTTGGTTCCTTCCCCAGTGCCCCTGACTCCTCACTTTCCTCAGGCCCCCAAGCTGTCACACTCTAGCCCTATAATGAACAGATTTGTGTCCCCAGAGTTGAGCAACCAGAGGAGGGCCCACATACCGGTTTTCTCCTTGATTTCACACAGGACGCTAAAGAGAGCAGGCTTCATTCGGTGGCAGTTTAGGGCGTGTTTCCTTGGGAGGAGTGGGAGTGGGGAAAGAGAAAAGTTGAGGAGCTAGAGAAACAGAGCAGGGGGCCTGAGAACAAGGAGGGAGGAGGGTCAATCTGCAGAGGGAGGAAGCGGATTGGGGGTGGAATGGAGTTGGGGAGGGGAGTTCTTGGGAAAAGATCAGCTCCCAGAGCATGGGGAAGCTGCTCGGCTTCAGGGTGACACAGGGAAGATGCAGGCAGCAGGCTAAAGGCCGGGGGCTTTGGGAGATGGTCTAGAAAAGTATGAGGAGGAATTTGGGAGTGGATGGAGAAAGGAAAGTGACTTGGTAGGTTTCAGAGGTAGAGAGACTGAGGCTGGGGTTGAGAAGAGTCGGAGTTTGAGGTGGCAGAGCGGGGCTGGGGGTGCCGAGCTAACTGGGGACATCAGTGTAGTGTGTGTGAAGGGGTCCTGGGGCTGAGCAGGTGGGAAGCTTTGATGCACCTACTGTCTGGCTGAGCCGTGGAGAGGAGCTTTAGGGGCTCTGGAGAGGGTGTGGAGGTCTCCACATCTGGACAGAATGAAGGGGCTGGGTGGAGAGTTAGGGAAGAAGATAACATAGCCCAAGAACAGTTTCTGAGTCTGGGAGCCAGAGGGGGCTCCCGGAGATGGGGCTGTTCCAGGGGAGTGGGGGGGTCAGCAAAAGGTTAGGAGTGGGGAGCGGGGCCACCTGGGGTTCCCTCTGTGGTTTCAAGGCCTGGGGGTGAAGGGAGGTTTGAGAGGGATCACTTTTCTAGGGGCTCCCAGGAATGAGAGAAGAGAGCTGTTGGATCCTGGAAGAGGGCCCTGGAGTTGGGGGGCTCCCAGAAGATTCAAAGCATGTGAACGGGGTTTGCTGGGTCTGTGTGGGGTCCCGGGGTGGGGGCACTCACTTGGCCTGGGCCTCGTCCAGGCTCTGGTCGGTGATGGTCATTATCTGCTGCAGAATGTCCCCGATGTCTTGCTTCCCTCGGCCTCCCGGGACCCCCCCGCTACCCCCACCGGGGTCTCCGCCACCGGGAGGCTCGCCAGGGCCCCCAGGCTCCCCACCCACCAATCCCAGGCCCCCCCGGCCCCCGCCTGGAGGGGGCGGCCCCAGTAGCCGCTCGTCCATAGCTGGGGGGGGGCCCTGAGGCCCCCTCCCTGCTCCGCCCCTCCCCCCGCCTGATTACTTCTCCCCCCCAAACTCGCTGGGGCCGCTGCTCCCTCCGCCCCAACCCCCGCCCGTCTGCCCCTGGCTCCCGGCTCCCCCGGGGGTTCACCCCGGCACTGAAGGGAGACCTGGGGTACCGGCTGGGCCCCCCACAGGAGACCCCGGCCCCCGGCGGCGGAGAAAATGGAGCCGGAGAGAGAGAGGAGGCCCAAGCGGGGGTGTGTGTGAGAGAGAGGGAGGAGGGAGGAGGGAGAAGGGGGGGAGCGAGGGAGGGAGGCTGGGGGAGGGGAGCCGGGGAGGAAGAGGAGGGGAGAAGAGAGGAGGAACAGGGAGGAGCTGGGGGCGGAGAGAGAGACACAGAAACAGAGGAACTGAGACCGAGTGGAGGAGGGGAGAGGGAAGAGGGGATGAGGGGAGGAGACGGGCTATCTGAAAAATATGGGAAAGCCCCCTGGCTGGACTTCCGCGGCCTGGGAGTGGGGGCGTGTTGGCGGCTGCGGGGGTCTGCCACCTGGGTCCTGAATCAGGGATCTAGGCGATGTGGACTCACGCCGCTGGAATGCCTGGGTTCACCGACAGCTCAGTTCATATTTCTTGTTCTAATGACTCCCCTCCCTGTTCTACTTAATTAAAACCAGGAGAGGGGGGCTGGGGGAGATAATTAGGGAGGTCTCCAGCCGCTGCTTAATGAGCCAGTAATTAACCAGCCAGGGAGGGGAGCTGGCCTCTGGCCAGACTGGGGAGAGAGGCGGCCTCTGGCCTCACCTTCCTACCCTTCACCCCGCCCTGGTCCCCCAGACACCAGTCTTCAGTCCAGAGGGGTATTACATTTATTCACACAACCAAAACATCGGACAGACTCAGCAGCAGTGGGGAGGGAGGGTGGGCAGGGCTGAAGGTCCATTCACAGCCTCTAAACCCCTCAGTCTCAGGGATGGGGGTGCTGGTAGTGGGATTGGGAGAATAGTCTTAATCTCTCAGGTGCCCACCCACCTTCCCTTCTTACTGGGAGGAAGGGTAGAGCTGTCTCTCAGGTTATAACCTCTCAGGAGGAGGCCTGAGCCCTCAGACCCTAGTGCCTAGTAGCTCGACAATTGGTGGTGTCCCCACAAGTTAGGGAAAAGACTCCCAGCCACTCATTGAGATGGGTGCCTGGGATCCCCCTTACTGCCTCAAGCTCCCATGGACCTGTGCGGGGGGGGGAGTTAAATCCACGTTCCACCTCGCCTGTTCCCAGAGTTTGAGGCCTTTCACCCCATCCAGTTCCCAGGGAAGGTGATGTGGGCGATGAATATTGAGATTTGCGCTGCGTCTTTCAGTCTCTGTTACCCCCGCCAAGCAAGAGTTGAGGGCATGCAATAGGCTGCCCAGCTTTCAGACCAGGGGCGAGGAAGGGCTGGCTGGGGGCTCAAGTCTCAGCAGGTGTGTGTGGGGGGCCGGGACCTTTGCTCCTCCATTCGACCCCCACCCTGAACTCTCAGCAGCAACTCCAGGAGCTCCTGCCCCCCTGGAGGGAGGGGAGGCTCTGACCGCTGGGCTTCCATCCGCTGGCACTGGAGGAGTGGAGGCAGAGGAAGAGCTTTGGTGAGGGTCGGAGGGGAGGAGGTTCTTGAGAGGATCAAGGGTTGGTATGGGGAGGCATATAGGAAACCTGTGAAGGTGATGGGGTGCCTAGGGAGAAGCAGGAGTAGAACCCAAAAGAGAACAGGGCCAAGAGACCAGGAGGCCTGGGTTTGCCTCCTGGGGGGATGTCTTACCTGGTGACTGAGGATGGTGCTGTAAAGCTGTTCTCTGTCCTCAAGAGGACGGAGTGGGGCAGGGGCTCGGCTTGGGGGGTTTTGTGGGGTGAAGAAGGTGGCCCTCTGCTCCTCTAGGCGGCGGGACTGGGCTTCAGCCACCAGGTCCAGAAGGAGCTCAGTCTGCAGGGAGAGCAGGGAGGCCGAGCGGGGTCCTAGTGCTGGGGAGAGGGGTGTGGAGGGCTCAGGGACCCAGAGAGGTTGGCAGACAGGAGCCGTGGGGGAGTGTGAATAGGGTGATGTGATTAGGGACTTTGGGTCAGAGGAGAGGCGGCGCAATGGGTAATCCCAAGGGGAGTCTGGAGGAGGTGGGGAGAGGGCCCACAATGGACTGGGCCTTGGTAATGGGATCAGGATGTGGGCACCAGGGTCAGGGCTCTCCCTGGGTGGGTAGGGGTACCTGTGTGGCGGGTCCCTGGAGGAGGAGGGGACGGAGGAGCAGATCGCCAAGGCCGAGTGGTGGAGTTTGGAGGGGGCCAGCCTTGCTCATCCTGAGGGGGGCCCTGATGCCAAAATATGTCCATTCCAGTCAAGCAGTGGTGGTTGAAATGGGTGGAGTGGACAGGGGCTAGGTCAGTGGCCCGTTTCCTCTCTGTGTGTCTCTGTTCCTGCCTCAGTTTGCCCAAGCCTTACAAGGCCCCTGTGTCCCTACATTTCTGCCCCAGATCCTCTCACCTCCCTTCTTTCCCAGTGTCAGCCTCCCCAACCCCGTGCCCAGCTCACCTGCTCACCATCCTCTTCTTCCTGGGGTCTCTCAGCCTCCATCCCCTGGAGGGGAGAAACTGGTGGGGGAGGGGTGGCTGGGATTTGGGAGGAGGGCCGGAACCTTGGGTTCCTGAGGGGAGTGGGGGCTGGAAGGGGTGGGGGTGAGCTGGGGGCTGGATGCCTGGGTACTGAGCAGGAAGCTGGGTTCCTGGTCAGCCCCCCCACGGGCCCCGCCCATCCCTGTCAACTTCCTCCATTCTCTTTTCCCACCCAAACAGCTTGTTCAGTCTCTCTCACCCCAGGGGAGCACAGAGACTGGGAAAAACTCCTCCAGCTGCAGGAGTGGAGGGGGCTGATGGTGGGGAAGGACTCCTGGCAGTCTCATCTCCAGAGCCTCAGTAGCCCCCTAATCCCTGACTCTGCTCCCTCCACCCCACCTCCTCTTCTGCTCTTTCTGTCAACACAGGAACTAGCTACACAGGAAGTGGTTTCACTCCTCAGAATCCCCCTCCCCCCAACCAGGTCCCTTCCCTCCCTGAGATAGACCCTGCTGTAGGATTTGGCCCTCCCGATCTTCCCTCTTACTTACTGGGTCTGGGAGGGGGCATGGTTCCAGTGGGAAGTAGAGGATTCAGACCTAGGGATGTGGAGCTCTCAAATATATACATAAAACCCTAGCAATGGGTCCAACACGTATTAAGTATTCAATATATATGTACTGAATAATCCCTGACCTTCAGGTATTTATAGTCTATTCAGGAGATGGTCGGCAGCTGTGGCTCACACCTGTAATCCTAGCACTTTGGGAGGCCTAGGAGGGTGGATGGCCTGAGCTCAGAAGTTCGAGACCAGCCTGGGCAACATGGTGAAACCCCGCCTCTACTAAAATACAAAAAATTAGCCGGGCGTGGCCACATGCGCCTGTAGTCCCAGCTACTCAGGAGGTTGAGGCAGGAGAATTGCTTGAACCCGGGAGGCAGAGGTTGCAGTAAGCCAAGATTGTGCCACTGCACTCCAGCCTGGGTGACAGAGCGAGACTCTGTCTCCAAAATAAAAATAAAATAAAATAAAATAAAGTAAAATAAAATATACACTCTATTCAGGAGACAAGATGTGTACCAAATGTGAGAGTACAGGAAGGCTTCATTTTGGAAACTTATAGTTTAGTGCAGATAAGGGGCAAGGGAAAACCGATTTTGGGTATAAGAGATGTAGATATGGAAAAATGAGAGGCTGAGGTGGGAAGACTGCTTGAGCCCAGGAGGTTGTGGCTGCAGTGAGCCATTTGTACCACTGCACTCCAGCCTGGGCAACAGAGCAAGACCCTGTTTCAGAAAAAGAAAGAAATGAAATGAAATCGAAAAGGGAGAGGACTACCTCTCTGGCTTGGTCTTTGATCAATGCTAATCAGGTTGGTTGGCATCAAGGAAGGAGCAGGGCAGACAGCCATTTGGTACCTCTAAATGGCAGCCTGTCATGTTAGGGAGTTTATAGCTGAGTGATTTGGAATGTGAAATGTGATGAAGAGGAGATCTGGTCCTGCCACTTATTCCTTTGCAGTCTTGAGCAGATCTCTGTGCCTCAATTTCTGAAAGAGTGAAATAGGGTTTTAATAGCACCTACTTCATAGAGTTGATGTATTAAATGTAATAAAGCACTTGATGCATAGTGGATACTCAATAAACTGTAGATATTACTGGCTTTCAAAATGCCTCATGACTTCATGTTTCAAACCTAGCAACATGTTGCTGCAAGGTGGACAGTTTCTTTAAGACACTCTCTCCATCTACTTGACTTGTGGCCTTAGGAATCTCCTAAGTGGCCATAACTAAAAGCCCTAGGATGAGGGACAAAGTGTGTGCATCATCTAGTGCAGTGGTCTCCTATCTTTTTGGCACCAGGGAAGAGTTTCATGGAAGACAATTATTCCATGGTCAGTGGGGTTGGGGGGCTGGTTTCAGTATGAAACTGTTCCACCCCAGATCATTAGGCATTAGATTCTCATAAGAAGCAAGAAACTTAGATCCCTTGCATGCGCAATTCACAATAGGATTCGAGCTCCTATGAGAATCTAATGCTTATGCTTATCTGACAGGAGGTGGAGCTTGGGCAGTAATGCTTGCTCACCTCCTGCTGTGTGGCCCAGCTCCTAAGAGGCCATGGACCAGTACCAGTCTGCGGCCCAGGGGTTGGGGACCCCTGACCTAGTGTGTGTGTGGGTTCTCCCTTGGCTACTAGACTCTTGCTTTCAGATAATACCCTAAATTATCATAGGGCCCCTAAATATACTTATTCTTGCTTTTAAACTATACTTACATCCTCCATTCAATGCAAATGCTGAGCCGAAAGCACAAAATGCTGACACTATGCAGTCACTCCCATCTTTTTTCCCATTCTTCTCCCCAACTCCTCCAAAAAAAGGTAACACTTCAAATCAGCTTTATTATGGGTGACAGATTTAGGGTTCTTAAATAGTGATAGCAGTGGCTAGAAGAAGCGCTTCATCCCCGCAGTGGAGTTTCTTTGTTGTGAGGGGAGGGAATGCAAGGAGTCATCAGCTGGGGCGGCCCTTGGCCACTTTTCAGCATCTACACAGTGCCTGGCACATAGTTGGTGTCCAATAAATATTTGTCAGCCATTTGTGGGCAGTGGGGACAATGGATGAAGGGAGCTCCCTTTGGAAACCATATATAGAAAGAACATCTTACATCCCATATGCCTGTAGTTCTTGGTTCCAATTTAGGGGTAGTTCCACTCCACTCTGCCCTCCTGTGGCCTTATTTTCTGGAGGAGGACTGGGCCTGCCTCATCCTAGCCTTGTAAACCCTCTTTCCAGAGCTGCAGCTTCTCCATGTGGAAGATGCCTGCTCTGGTGGGCATACATTCATTTTAGGAGAGAAACTAAACTCACAACCCTTCATTTTTGGGGCTCCATCTTAAAACCAGGAAGGCCTTCCAGCCTGCCTTTTAATGGGTAATCATTTTGGAATTCCTCCCTACCATGTATTCTCCTATTTTTTGCCCTCTCCTCCTTGGTTTATGGGCATTTCTTGGTGGGCTGGGGGACCCCAGTCAAGTTGAGGGGATCCCCGCTCCGGGGACGGAGTAAGGCAAGAAGGCGGGTTTGGAATGTTAGAGGCAGGACCGCAAGCTCCCAGGGCCACCCAATCACAGGGCCAGTCATCCGTTGGGCCCCTGCCTCCGCGCCCGGCAGCCACTCCGTAGCTTCCTCGCATTATCGCAGGGTTGGGCCGAGGCCCGCGCATGCCTGCAGAAAACCTGCGGCCGCGAGGGGGCGGGCCTCCTCCTGCTCCTCCTCCCGAGAAGCTCCGGCAATGATAATAGGCCCCGCCCCCCCGCACAGCCAAGTCTACGGACCAAGTCCGAGCCTGCCGACAAGCTCCGCCCCCACGAGGGCCTGCTCCGGCTGACAGCGTCCGGCAGCGCGGCAGAGCCCCGCCCCCATGCGGGGGCACGCTTACGGACGTCGTCCGTGCGCGCGGGAAGGGCCCGGACTCGCGGCCCGGCGTGGCTTTGTGACGGGCTTCTAGTGGCCCCGCCCCTTCCAGCAGCGTCAGCAGATCCCAGTGGTTTCGTTGGCGAGCGACGTCCGCGGGCGCTAGCCCAGCCTGGTCCCGCAGCTCTCGGGCTGCCCCCAGCCCCAGCAGCAGCTGGGCTACTTCCACCGCTCCTTCCCGTGCCGCCAGGAACAGCGGCGTCTGCTCCTGCACAGGAGGAAAGAGCCAGGGGCGATATCAGGGCAGGCCACGCCCACAGGACTGGGCCTTTCTACCTTCACTTACGGGACCACTGGCCCCTCTCCCTTCAGGCTTTGCGGGTTACCGCACTTTCCATCTCTCCTGCGCCCGACTGTTTTGTGGGAAGCCCTCTGTCCCATCTAACCCTGCTGTCCTGGGCGTCTTTATCGGCTCCGGCCTGAAGAAGCGAGCGGGCGGCTCGGGCGTTGTTCACGGCAGCAGCCCAGTGCAGCGCAGTTTTCCCTAGGGGACGACGTGGGAGGTTGTTACCGCTGTTGGGGGCCAGACGCCTGGGTTCCGGTTTCCCACGGGTTCTGTCCTTGGGGGAAGGGCTATTTGGGCCGGTTGGTCCCTCAAAGGCGGGAAGCGTTGCCCAGGAGACTACCGGCCTGCAGGAAATGTTGCCCTGGTGACGTCATCAGTGCGCGGGAGGGACAATGGGGCATTGTTCTGGGGTCGGTGAGACTGGGAAACGTCCCCCCCGACGAGATCCCGCCGCCTTTCCACACACACTGTCTTCCATGCCAGTTCCCCAGTAAGCTGGAGCAGAGGGCCAGTGTGGTGTTGAGGGTAGAAGTTGGGGGGGAAACTCACACGGCCCGTATTTCCACCGCATCGCAGATTGACAGCCTTAACAGCAGGATGAGAGGGAATGCCCCTCCACTGCACCTATATTTTGCACTCCATCTCCCACCCCATCTGCTCAACTTCTCTACAGCACACATCACCCCTTCCTCTACATACCCCATTTATCTCTGGCCCCCACGTCTGCTTGGGCTGCAATCAGTTCTTCAACCAGGTCTTCCACTGCCAGTCTGGCAGCCAGCATCAAGGGTGTGGTCCCGTCCTCTGTGCGAGCGTCCACTGCAGTTTGTCTGCTACGGAGCAGAAGCTGGGGAGACAGAGGGCCAGTGACCCCTGGGGTACCCTGGACTGCCAACTGAAGTTCCTTACACTTTTAACCCCACTCACAATCCATATTCAGCCATCCTCCGCAGTTTCCCTGTCAGGTTCCCAATCACACCAGTTTCCTCTTTGTCAAACTCTAGGGGATGCTTCTGTCCAGCTTTACTTGTAAGCTCGCCCCATTCCCTGTAGGGACCTCAGTGTGTGCCAACCTGGCAGACCTCGCGAGCATCAGCAGCCACAGCAGCATGAAGGGGTGTGCGCCCTGCGCGGTCTGGCTGGTTGGGGTTGGCTCCAGCCTCAAGGAGGCGGCGGGCAGCGGTTGGCCGGGAGAATCGGGCAGCCAGGTGCAGGGGGGTCTCCCCAGTGCCCACGGTGTGAGCCTGGGGACAGGCCCCTCCATCCAGCAGAGGTTCCCAGGGCCCAGGACATCCCAACCATGCCCCTTGGAAGGTCCTGGACTCTACTTCCCCACAGCAAACCGCGGACATCAGGGGTGTCACCCCATCTGTTGGTAAGACATGAGTAATGGGTCAATCTAAATGACACAACAAGGGGGAAGGGACAACATGTAAGCTTAGAGAGAATCAAAACCTGAGGTGTTGGGAAGCTAAGTTCCGGTTCTGTGTGGCTTTAGTCAAGTGACTTTTCTACTTTTCTCTGACTTCAGTTTCTTCCTCTGTAAAAGGAACCTGCAGCTTAATTCTCTGACATTCCAGGGCAGTGATTTTCTCAAACGAGTCTGGATCAGATTCACCTGAAGGGCTTATTAAAACAGATTGCCTAACATCTTCAATTCCTGAGTCAGTAGCTCTGTAGTGGAGCCCAATAATTTGCATTTCTAACAAATTCCCAGGTGATGCTGATTCTGCTGTCTGAGGACCACACTTTGAGAATCATTTTTCTAAGGCACTAGTCTAAAATTAGTTCCTCTAGTTCTGATATTAAAGGACTCTCTGATTCTAATAGGGTCTAAAGACTTTTTTTTTTTTTTTTCTTGGTCTGGGTTGACTCACATACCAGGTCCACGGGTGTCCAGGTCAGGGGCTTCCATCTCGGATTCCTGGGGAGGAGTTAGCATGGCAGCCTGAGGGAGCTCCCCACAGCCACCACTCAGAGACCAGAACTGGCACTTGGAGGGTGGGCCTGTTTCTTCAGCCTTTGGGTAAGAGCAAGGATCAGTGAAGGTTGATTTGCTCTTTCATCCCTTCCATCACTTCCAGATCATACTTGCCCCAGCCCGTTCACCTGGCCCACCTCCTCTCCCTCCTCAGGGCCTGAGCACATCACAACTCCGTCCTCATCAACTTCTGCCTCTGGCTTCAGTGCCCTGGAAGGAAATGGGTGGGTAGAGGTTACACGGAATTATGACCATCAGGGTCTCCAAGATTTCCAGTAGGGTTCCCACCCCTCTCTCCTTCCCCTATCTTTGACTTCTGCAATAGTATTTCTTATCTTTTCTAATTGTAAATATCACCATAGGAGAGACTTCCCTTCCTGAGCCTGGGTTTCTCCTCATTCTCACTTGAGGCCAATGCTGTCCTCGCCCAGTGGGGGCCGGCGTCGGTGGGGAGCTGACTGAGTCCTAGGCCGTCGAGTGAAACCAGGGGGCAGCCAGAGAGCTCCATGCTCTCGGCGTCGACGCCGGATGAGCTGGAGGACGAGAAGAGCCCCTAGGGCCAGGAGAATCACCCCAGCCACTGGGGAGCACAGCACAGGCCAGGGAAGCTGGTTGGCAGGGGGTGCTGGTGGGAGAGAGAGAGTCACAAAGAGAGGCCACTCCTGGTGAGACTGATTACTATTGGGAGACCTTTGGACAAGTTTAATAGCCTGTCTTTGCCTTGGTTTCTTTATCTGCGAAATGGGGATGATAATATAGGTTGAGGTTGGGCACAGTGGCTCATGCCTGTAATCCCAGCACTTTGGGAGGCTGAGGCAGGTGGATCATATGAGGCCAGGAGTTTGAGACCAGCCTGGCCAACATGGCAAAATCCCCTCTCTACTAAAAATACAAAAATTAGCGGCCAAGTGCGGTGGCTCACGCCTGTAATCTCAGCACTTTGGGAGGCTGAGGCGGGCAGATCACGAGGTCAGGAGATCGAGACCATCCAGTTTAACGTGGTGAAACCCCGTCTCTACTAAAAATACAAAAAATTAGCTGGGTGTGGTGGCGGGTGCCTATAGTCCCAGCTACTTGGGAGGCTGAGGCAGGAGAATGATGTGAACCCGGGAGGTGGAGCTTGCAGTTAGCCGAGATCGCGCCACTGCACGCCAGCCTGGGTGACAAGGCGAGACTCTGTCTCAAAACAAAACAAAACACAAAACCCAAAAACCAAAAAAAATTAGCAGGGCGTGGTGGCATGCCATTGTAATTCCAGCTACTCGGGAGTCTGAGGCAAGAGAATTGCTTAAACCCGAGAGGCAGAGGTTGCAGTGAGCCAAGATGGTGTCACTGTACTCCAGTCTGGGTGACAGAGTGAGATTCTGTCTCAGAAAACAAACACATAAAAAAACAGGTTGAGTATCCATGATCCCAATCCCAAATCTGAAATGTTCCAAAGTCTGAAACTTTCAGAGTACCAACATGACGCTTAAAGGAAATGCTCATTGTAGCATTTGGACATTGTATTAGGAATGCTGAACCAGTATAATGCAAATATTCCAAAATAAAAAAATCCGAAATCTGAAACACTTTTGTTCCCAAGCATTTCAGATGAGGGATACTCAACCAGCAGTATGTGCCTCATGGGGTTGTGGGGGAGGATTAAATGAGGTAACAATGTAAAATGCTTGGAGTAAGGCACAGAGTGAGTATGATATAGCAGTTCTTTTTTTTTTTTTTTTTTTGAGATGGACTCTCACTCTGTCGCCCAGGCTGGATGGAGTGCAGTGGCGCGATCTCGGCTCACTGCAAGCTCCATCTCCCGGGTTCACGCCATTCTCCTGCCTCAGCCTCCCGACTAGCTGGGACTACAGGCGCCCGCCACCACACCCAGCTAATTTTTTTTAGTTTTAGTAGAGACGGGGTTTCACCACGTTAGCCAGGATGATCTCGATCTCCTGACCTCATGATCCGCCTGCCTTGGTCTCCCAAAGTGCTTGGATTACAGGCGTGAGCCACTGCGCCCAGCCTATTATTCTTTCATGTACTGAGTTGTCTGATACGAAGACAATTAGATATTCTCAGTCTGGTAAAGAAGATAAACCATCCCTTTGTTGGAGGGCTATGACAGAGGTTAGGATAATGTGCTTAGGGAAATAAGGAAGGAGACTGTAGAACAAATGGGCCAGTGGGAGATTCAATTAGAGAAAGCGGGATTAGGGAAAGTAAGTCCCCACAAAGAACATTTTCAGTCTCAGTTGTCCTGTTTGATGCAGCCTCCATTGCCTGTTGCTAGCATGAGAGCTGGCCTGGGAACAGAGGTCAGAGAAAGTGGCAAGGGGTCACCTACCAGTGCCTGCATGAGGGTGGACAGCCAGCAGTGGTCCAGGCAGCAGGGGCTCCAGGGCTCCCACTGCAGCCATCGCAGCAAGGAAGCGGAGTAGAAGCCCAGGGTCCCAGGGACAGCGGGATGCCGGGTGGTCAGGGCCACAGCGGGACAAATCCACACCCATTACCACCACAAACCTGTAGGGGAGGCACCTCAGAGACCTCTGTGTTGGTCCTTGGCTCCCTTCCCTCCCTCTGCCCTCTTAAAAAAACTGGTGTCTGGCCCTTCCCTCCACCTAACTTCTTACCCAGCACTGAGGGAGTCGGTCTCCTTGCCCAGGGGCTGCGTTTGAGGGGCTGATCTCTCCTGATAGGAGGGGTCCCGAGTTCCTCCTAGCTTTTCTTCAGCCCGGGCCCCAGGATAGGGGTACACCATGTCCCTGCCGTCACGATCCTTCCTTACCCAGAGTCCCACCCTCAGAGTCAGGGACAACACCCGGGCCAGGGCAAACAGCTGCTGGTCTAGGGCTGGGGGGCTCAGTACCACCAGCAGGGCCAGGGAGGGCCCCCACTCTGGGTCCCCATCTTCAGGCCTGCAGTCACCTCCATCCCAGCCACACTCTGCAGTGTTGCAGCCTTTCTCACAGTGCCCGTTGTGGAAGTGATCGTGGCAGTACTGGTCATAGGCTGGACTGTGGGGTGAGGAGAGGGGGACTCAGGACCTCCCTAAAACCTGACTCTTCTCTTCACTCTAGAGAGAATTCCCCATATTTTGTGCCCTCCAGGGCTTTGGTTGCTAAGAGAGGGCAGCTGTGGAGCAATGAGCTTAGTCAAGTCCTGGATGGTAGTCCAGACACCCCAATGTCTGCTAACACCCCTGTCTCCCTAGACTGTCCCCTCTCTGTACCCTCCCAAGCTGTCCTCTGTTTCTGAAGGAGAGTCCAGGGCCCTTTTCCCTCTGTGAGGTGCTGACTGCTAGGGGAGATACTCCATGGCAGCAAGGCTTAGGGAGGGAGGCTTGAGGCCTGAGTTCCCACAACCCTCAGAGAGGAGCCCAAAGGCCACGCCCCACATTAAGTATTGATGCCACCCCATTACCCTAGGTTGGAGTCCAGAGTCTTCGACCCTTATTTAGTGATAGTTATTAGGGTGGAAACTCCCTGGAGCCCGCGGCTGTGGCCACACTGTAACTCAGAGCCATCTACGTCCTTCCTCTTCCTCTCACCCACCCCTCTCCTTCCCTGGTTCCAGGGGGTTTCAGGCTCACGTGCAGGCTGGAGGGGTCTCACAGTCGTAGCCATCAAACAGACACTCTTCAGAGTCACACTGTGGGTGGCACTGCCCGTCCCGGAAGAGAAGCCAGCACCGAGAGTGGGAGGGGCAGCCCTTCCAGGGGTCTGGGACTCCCAGAGAGCAGTCCCCTCCATCCCAATTTCCTCCTGGGCCACTGCAGCCAGCATCGCACGCCCCATCTCCACTTCTGCCCTCACACCCCTTGGCTCCGGGCTTCTGACACCGGGGCCCTGGAGAGCTGTGAGGGCAGGAGCATCGAAAGCCTGGGCCCCCCAAGCCCGTGGTCTCTGAGCAGCTGCCATTGTATAGGCATGGGGAGGGAGGGCCACAGCCTTTAGGAGCTGGTGGGGTCAGACAGTCAGGACCCCCATAGCCATTGAGGCAGGCACAGCGTGGTGGGAAGCCTGGCTTAGGGGAGGGCAGACACAAGCCTCCGTGGTGGCAGTGATGGAGGCCGCAGGAAGGGGCCCTGTGGCTGCAGGTGGGGCCTTCAAAACCCTGTGGAGGGGAGGGGAGATATTGGAGATGGAACTTGCATTATTCTTCCCACTCCCCATCAAGCAAACTGTTGGGTTAAGATGGTGCAGAGGGTCCTACAGTCTCATATCTAAAAGGCGCCTCAGAGAGCATCAAGTTAATCATTTTGTGGATGTTGAAACCATGTCCCATGGTAATTTCACACAATGACATATTACATTATTTGGAAAATGGATGAAGCACAGTTGAGTGCAACAACCTGATGGACTGTGGCATTACAGTGCAAGTTCTAGAAGACTAAACAGTTAATAGAATGTTACTATTATTATTATTATGATGAGACAGAGTTTCACTCTTGTTGTCCAGGCTGGAGTGCAAAATGGTGTGATCTCGGCTCACTGCAACCTCTGCCTCCCAGGTTCAAGCGATTCTCCTGCCTCAGCCTCCCCAATAGCTGGGATTACAGGCATGCACCACCACGCCCAGCTAATTTTATGTTTTTGTAGAGACAGGGTTTCACCATGTTTTTCAGGCTGGTCTCGAACGCCTGACCTCAGGTGATCCGCCTGCCTTGGCCTCCCAAAGTACTGGGATTACAGGTGTGAGCCACCATGCCCGGCCGGTTTTTATATTATTATCTTACTTCTTAGAAATAGGATCATATGTCTTCCTCTTCCTCTAGAGAGGGAACAGGATACAGGAGGAGGACATAAGTAGATGTAAGTTATTATTAATATTGAAATTATTGGGTTAGGTTCATGGGTGTTACATTGTTAGAATAATAAAATAAAAGAAGACCAGGCATAAACCAATGTCAGTATATCAGGAACTAAAGCTTAAGATTAGTCTAATTCCATCATCTGAGACCCATAAATACATACACATACACACACAGTTAAAATAACCTATCTGAGGCCACCCACCACGCAGCCTGAGCTTGGGGAACTCCTGACCTTCCCTTAGGCAACGCCTGTGATTTCTGAAAATTCCATTCATGCTATCAGCTGCCTGCTTTTCCTTTGACTGCTTCTGAGAGACACTTGCCACTGTGAACTTGGCGTGGCTTTTTCCAATAATTTCCACATCAGTGCTCCCCGACAGTCCCTTCTGGGATTCCAACTGAGGTATTCTTGCCTTTTGTCAGTATAGGGGGCAACAGAGAAGGCAGATTTGTGGTCACTTGCCTTGGGGCAGTGGCAGATGAAACCCAGGGGTGATCCTGCTGTGGCCTCACAGGTCCCTCCATGAAAGCAGGGTTGGCTGTGGCAGGGGTCTATCTCCACCTCACACCATTGGCCTGTAATTGTGGGGGAGATTAGACGTCACACACTGCATCAGTCACTGCCTCCGTCTTAGCCCATTCCTAGATGTTGGCCCAGTGCTAGATGTGCCGGTGAAGGGCTCCTAGGGCATCTTTTCTGGGTGGGGGTGGGCGTGGAGGCAGGGGATGGACCAGGTGATGGCTGCCACATGGGTGGAGACTATCTGGCTCTCCATGGTCTGCTCGGCTGTGCTCCAGACATGCTTGTGCCCCTTGTCCTGGGGCCTCACCTGTGTGTCCAGGAAGACACTGGCAGTAGAAGGCATTGGCCAGAGAGTGGCAGGCTGCAGTGCCTGTGGGGTGGCAGGGCTGGTCCAGACACTCGTCCACGTCTCCCTCACAGCGTAGCCCCACAAAGCCTGGAGGGCAGGCACAGTGGAAGCCTCCAGGTTTGGGGGTGCAGGTTCCATGGTTGTGACAGGGTTGGGACTGACAAGCATCAAGTTCCTTTGAGCAGTTCTGTCCATTGTAGCCTGGGGCGCACTGCAGACAAAGAGGGTTAGACAGGGAACCAGTGGATGAGCCCAACCTAGCACTACAAGGGACCCAGCTCAAGACAGTTTGTCCAGTCCCCCACCTTCCAGCTCAACAGCATCACTCAACTCACCATCCATCATGGCCATGCGTCACAACCCTTCTACCTCAAATGCCCATGAGACACAATTGTTCGGTGACACACAACTCAACCTTCCCCAGTCCCAAACAATCTCTATGACACACTGCCACCAAACACAGCACCATTTTTGGTAAAACCTTCCTCCCCTACAAAAATACCCACCAGGCTCTCTAATACTTTATTAATTCATAAGCATCAACTGAATGCCTACTTTGTGTCAGGCACTATTTTAGGCACTAGGAATATGAAGAAAGTTAGAACTCATTCCTATTTCCTGGGAGCTCTCAGTCAACCAGAGGAAAGAAATGGCTAGCATTTATTGCATGATTTATATATGTAACCTAAAAATCCCCCGAATGACATTTTATTTGGGTTATCTCATTCGATTTTTACTTTGCACGTAAGGAAGCTGAGTCTCTGAAAGGTTAAGTGACTTGTGCAAGTCAAATAGCTATAGGTGGCAGAGCTGGGAATCAATGAAGGTCTGTGACTCCATAACCAATGCTCTCAACCGTTTTCTGCTTCTTCATGCCACTCAGCTAGTGAAAGAAGGATCATTGGCAAGATCTGTACCACATGCTGGCTTCCTTGCAAGAGGAAGGAGAGTGTGCAAGAGTAGAGTACCAGGAAGGCAGGCTTCAAAGAGGGAGAAGGGAATTCACAAAGAATCCAAGGAGTGGTCAGAGAGCTGGAAGGAACAGGTGATGGGAGTGTTTTGGAGGAGGGAACTTCATAAAAGAAGTAGAACTGAGTAATGGGTGCCCAGAGGTTTACTACTGATCAGTATACTGCTTTTGTTTATGTTTGAAAATGTTCATAATAAAAGGTTAAAAAATAAAATAAAAAAGTGAGAAAAGAGGGTAGGTTAGGGGATCTGTCTTGAGCCTTCTCTCAAAAGTTGTGGTTCTGGCCGGGCATGGTGGCTCACGCCTGTAATCCCAGCAGTTTGGGAGGTCAAGGCGAGTGGATCACTTGAGGTCAGGAGTTTGAGACCAACATGGTGAAATCCCATCTCTACTAAAAATACAAAGAAAAAAAATTAGCTAGGTGTGGTGGCAGATACCTGTAATCCCAGCTACTGGGGAAGCTGAGGCAGGAGAATTGCTTGAACCGGGGAGGTAGAGGTTGCAGTGACCCGAGATTGTACCATTACACTCCAGCCTGAGCGACAGAACAAGACTCTGTCTCAAAAAAAAAAAAAAAAGTTGTGGTTCTATATCTCAAAATAATAAAGGCCATATATGACAAACCCACAGGTGAATGGGGAAAAGTTGAAAGCCTTTCCTCTAAGATCTGGAACAAGACAAGGATGCTCACTTTCACTATTTTTATTCAAGGTAATACTGGAAGTCCCGGCCAGAGCAATTAGGCAGGAGAAAGAAAGAAAGGGCATCAAAATTGCAAAGGAAGAAATCAAATTATCCATGTTCACAGGTGACATAATCCTATATTTAGAAAAACCTAAAGAAAACAGTTTAGAAACAAATTCAGTAAAGCTGTAAGATACAAAATCAATGTAGAAAAAGTAGTAGCATTTCTATACACTAACAGCAAACAATCTGAAAAAGAAATCAAGAAAGCAATCCCATTTATAATAGTTACAAAAAATAAAAACAAACAAATACATTTAACCAAAGAAGTGAAAGAGTACTGCAATGACAGCTATAAAACACTGATGAAATAAATTGAAGGGGACACAAAAAAATGGAAAGATATCCTGTGTTCATGGATTGGAAGAATGAATACTGTTAAAATGTCTGTGCTTACCAAAGTGATCTACAGAGTCATGCAACCCCTATGAAAATACCAATGATATTCTTTACAGAGATAGAAAAAACAACCCTAAAATTTATCTGAGCTGTAAAAGACCCAAATAGCCAAAGCAGTCTTGAGCAAAAAGAACAAAGCTAGAGGCACCACACTACCTGTCTTCAAAATATACTACAAAGCGATAGTAACCAAAACAGCATGGTGCTGGCATAAAAAACAGACACATAGATCAATGGAATGGAATAGAGAGCCCAGAAAAACAAGTCCAAACATTTACAGCCAACTTACTTTCTTTTTTCTTTTCTTTTTTTTTTTGAGATGGGAGTCTTGCTCTGTTGCCCAGGCTGGAGTGCAATGGCATGATCTCAGCTCACTGCAACCTCCACCTCCTTGGTTCAAGCGATTCTCCTGTCAGCAATTCCTGGAGGAAAGCTGGGATTACAAGGTGCAACGCCACCACGCCCCAGCTAAATTTTTGTTATTTTAGTAGAGGACGAGGGTTTCACCAGTTGGTCAGGCTGGTCTTGAACTTATGACCTTGTTGATTCTGCCGTTCTTCACTTCCAAGTTGCTTGCGGATTATTAGGGATAAAGGCCACTGCTCCTGGCCCAAAGCCAACTACTTGCCAAACAAGGCAACCAAGCTAAACAACACATGGAGAAAGGGAACATCTCTTTTCAAAAGAATGGTGCTGGGAAAAAGCTGGGAAAACCCGTATTTTGCAGAAAAAAACTTAAAAAAACCTAGGCGGGTGTAGTTTGGTCATGGGCCTGTCAAATGCCCCAAGCAAACTTTGGAGCAGAGGTTGGGGGGTCACCTGAGGTCCGCAGTTGAGGCCAGCTCTGACCAAATATGGTGAAACCCCATCTCTACAAATTACAAAAAATAGCTGGGGCGTATGCCATGCACGCTGTAGTCCCAGTGTGTGCTAACCTAGGAGGCTGAGGCAGGGAGAAATCTTCTTTGGGAAAACCCTGGGATAGTGGCGGAGGATTGCAAGTGAAGCTGAAGATTCATTACACTGCAACTCCAGACTGGGGCAACAGAGGAGAACTTTTCCCAATCTCAAGAAAAAAAACTAAACAAAAAAAAAATCAACAAAAAAAAAACAAAACCTTTAATCTGTCGATCTTCCATATAACAAAGTAGATTAAAAAAGCCGATAAACATGAACAAACTGATAAATTATGAAGACTAAAAGGAAATTCAGCCGGGCATGGTGGGTTCACAGAACCTGTTTTAATCCCGGAGTTTACTGGGAGGCTTGGAAGCAGGCAGATTAAAGGTCAGGAGTTTGAGGACCAGCCTGGGCAAAGAAGACATGGGTGGGAAAAGCCCTGTCCCTTATAAAAATACAAAGAAAGAAAAAAAAAAAAAAAAAAAGCTGGGGTGGTGGTGGTCGCCTTGTTTTAATTTTTTCAACTACTTGGGAGGCTGAGGCAGGAGAATCGCTGGAACCCGGGAGGCAGAGGTTGCAGTGAGCCCAGTTCGCGCCACTGCACTCCAGCCCAGGCAAAGGTGCGAGACTTGGTCTCAAAAAAAAAAAAAAAAAAAAAAATGTCATTTGGAAAATGCTTCAAGACATTGGTCTGGGCAAAAGTTTTTTGGGTAAGACCTCAACCCTCAACAGCACAGACAAACAAAAGCAAAAAGAGACAAATGTGATTACATCAAGCTAAAAAGTGTCTGTGCAGCAGAGGAAACAATCAACAGAGTGAAGGGGAACCTACAGAATAGAAGAAAATATTTGCAAACTATCTATCTGACAAGGGATTAATAATCAGAATATATAAGGAACTCAACAGCAAACACCACCACTACCACCACTACCACCACTGACAAATAATATGGTTTAAAAAATGGGCAATTGATCTGAACAGACATTTCTCAAAAGAAGAGATACAAATGGCCCACAGGTATATGGATGGAAATCAGGGAAATGTAAATCCAAACCGCAATGAGATATCATCTCACACCAGTTAAAGTGGCTATTATTGAAAAGACAAGGGCCAAGTGTGGTGGCTCACGCCTGTAATCCCAGCACTTTCAGAGGTTGAGGCGGGAGGATCACTTGAGGTCAGGAGTTCGAGACCATCCTGGCCAACATGGTGAAATCCCATCTCTACTAAAAATATAAAAAATTAGCCAAGCGTGGTGGTCCACACCTGTGATCCCAGCTACTTGGGAGGCTGAGGCACAAGAATTGCTTGAATCTGGGAGGCAGAGGTTGCAGTGAGCTGAGATCAAGTCACTGTGCTCCAGCCTGGGCAACAGAGCAAGACTCTGTCGAAAAACAGGAAAAAAAACAAAACAAAACAAACAAAAAAAAACCCAAAAAATAGCAAATGCTGGCAAGGATGCAGAGAAAGGGCAACTCTCATATGCTGTTGGTGGGAATGTAAACTAACATAGCCAGTATGGAGAAAAGCATGGAAGTTTCCCAAAAATTAAAAAAAGATCTACCATATGATCAATCTACTGTTGATTACATATCCAAAGGAAATCGGTATCTTGAAGAGATATCTGCACCCCCATGTTTATTGCAGCACTGTTCCCAATAGCTAACATATGGAATTAACCTAAGTGCCATCAACAAATGAATGGAAAAAAGAAACTGTGGCATATATACACAATGGAATATTATTCAACCAGAAAAAGAATGAAATCCTATCATTTTCAGCCACATGGATGAGACTGAAGGACATTATGTTAAGTGAAATAAGCCAAGCATGGAAAGACAAATACTGCATGTCTCTCACTTTCACCTTTGTGCCACTGCCTTAGTTAGTCCTGACCTTTCTTGCATTCCAGATAGAAACTTGCATCAGCCTCCTATTGCATGTCTAATATTGCTCCTCGCTCACATGTGGGAGCTAAAAAAGTTAGTCTCATGGAAGTAGAGTAGAATTATGGCTACCAGAGGTTAGAAAGGGTGGCAGGGAGGGGGAGATGAAGAGAGGTTGGTTAACGGATACAAAATTATGGTCATATAGAAGGAATAAGTTCTAGTGTTAGATAGCAGAGAAGGATGATGATAGTTAACAATTTGTATTTCAAAATAACTAGAAGAGAGGATTTGGAATGTTCTCGACACAAAGAAATGATAAATGTTTGAGATGATAGATATCCCAATTACCCTGATCTGATCATGACACATTGTATGCATGTATCAAAATATCACATGTGGCCAGGTGTGGTGGCTCATGCCTGTAATCCTATCACTTTGGCAGGCTGAGCGGGTGGATTGCCTGAGGTCAGGAGTTCTGAGACCAGCCTGCCCAACATGATGAAAACCCCATCTCTACTAAAAATACAAAAATTAGCCTGGCGTGGTGGTGCGTGCCTGTAATCCCAGCTACTCGGGAGGTTGAGACATGAGAATTGCTTGAACCTGGAAGGCAGGGGTTGCAGTGAGCCAAGATCGTGCCACTGCACTTCAGCCTGGGGGATAGAGCGACTCTGTCTCCAAAAACAAAAAGACAAAACAAAACAAAAAAACCTCACATGTACCCCATAGATATGTACGACTATTGTGTGTCAATAACAAAAGAAAATAAAATGGCAACCACACACACAAAAAAGGTTGTGGTTCTAAGCATACGAATCAGGCTGCTTAGACCTGAATGCCAGTTTTGCCTGTCCCAGCTGAGTGACCTGGACCACGAAGAAGAGACCCTAATCAGCCTGAGGAGAAGTTAGGGACATCTTCCTGAGGAAGGTGCCCCTGAACACCAGCCCGTGGAAGAGGGGTTGGGAAGGCCATTCCAGGTAGTGTCAATAGCAGGGATAAAGGCTGAGAGGCAAGAATCAGTATGGGGTATGTGGGAAAGTCAGCAGCAGTTTTGTGTTGCTGGAGCAGAGAGTAGGAGGGTGAGATGGGGAGAGCTGAGGCCTGAGAGGCAGGCAGGGCTGGGTCATGCAGGCCTTGGACTTTATTCTGAATGAGGCGGGCAGCCACTGAAGGTTCAGCAGGGGACAGACAGGTCAGCTGGACATTTTCAGTAGAGTACCCTGGTCATGGGGTAAAAGCTGAACCTGTAGAAGGACAAGTGTGGAGGCAGGGACCATAGTTAGGAGACTGATGCAAGTATCTACCTGGAATGCAACAAAGGTCAGGACTCAGGCAGTGGGACAAAGGGCGAAAGTGAAAGCACAGACTTGAGAAAACTTCAGGAAATAAAGTGGCATGACTTTGTGGTTAGTTGGGTGTGTGGGGTTTTAAAAAAAGGGAGGAGAAATGGATACACTGGGTCTTCCCTCAGTCACTACTGTCTCTCCCATCCAGACCACCCTTGTCTTTCCCCCCCCCTTCTCCTGCAGACCCTCTCACCTGGCAGAGATACCCACTGGGCTGGGCCATGCAGGTGGCCCCGTGCTGGCAAGGCCTGGACTCACATGGGTTCACATGATCCTGGCACAGGCTGCCTTGGAATCCAGGGGGGCAGTGGCAGAAATAGGAGGGGCCACTGTCGACACAGAGGCCTCCATTCTGGCAAAGGGAAGAGACGTCTATGCCTAGGGAGAGAGACAAACAGGGATATATAAAGACCAGTGGGGGGCCGGGCGCAGTGGCTCACGCCTGTAATCCCAGCACTTTGGGAGGCTGAGGCGGGTGGATCACGAGGTCAGGAGTTTCAGACCAGCCTGGCAAACATGGTGAAACCCCATCTCTACTAAAAATACAAAAAATTAGTCGGGCATTGTGGCGGGCGCCTGTAATCCCAGCTACTTGGGAGGCTGAGGCAAGAGAATCACTTGAACCTGGGAGATGGAGTTTGTAGTAAGCCGAAATGGTGCCATTGCACTCCAGCCTGGGCTATAGAGCAAGACTCCATCTCAAAAAAAAAAGGTAAGTGGGGATGTGGCCAGGTGCTGTGGCTCACACCTGTAATCTCAGCACTTTGGGAGGCTGAGACAGGTGTATCACTGAGGTCAGGAGTTTGAGACCAGTCTGGCCAACATGATGAAACCCCGTCTCTATTAAAAATACAAAAAAATAAAAATAAAAAAATTAGCTGGGCATGGTGGCACATGAATCCCGGCTACTTGGGAAGCTGAGGCAGGAGAATCACTTGAACCTAGGAGGCGGAGGTTGCAGTGAGCCGAGAACGTGCCACTGCACTCCAGCCTGGGTGGCAGAGTGGGACTCCATTTCAAAAAGAAAAAGATAAGTTGGGAGGATGAAGGGTATATTCAGGGCCCAAACTCTGGGTGTAGAGGCCTTTACCTTGGGGACCACTAACATTCCTGGGTGGAGGCCACTCTGGGCCCAAGGAGTTAATAACTCCTGGCACTGAAGAAATTAGAACATCGAGTTTTACCTCTCTCCTCACCCTTTCTGCCAGAATGTTGGAGACATACCTCTAAAGCTTATCATAGTGTTAAAGTAACTGTGTTCTTGGCTTAAAATAAGGCTTGAGCAAGAAAGAATTCAAGGGATGCCTCAGGTGAGGATATGTGGCTTAAGTCTGTCCCCTGAGTTCTGCATTCCTTTGATGTTCTCTCCCTGTGATTCCCATCAGCTCTCCCTTAACTCCATCATAGTCTCTTTCCCGAGGTCTTCTCATATCAAACCTTATTCTCAGTATTATAGTTGCCTATAGGGCAGGTGCAGTTGTAGCCAGAGGGCTGGGGGTAGCAGGTCCCCCCATGGGCACAGGGTGCAGAGACGCAGCCCCCTAGCTCTGCCTCACACTCTGGCCCTGTCCAACCCATGACACACACACATGAGGATCTGGTTGTAAAGAGAATGGGGAGGGTTTTTCTCTTCTCCTACTGCATCTGCTCCCCTCCCTGCTGCCTGGACCCCATGACTTCCTCCTCTTCTTATTTTAGTGTTCTTTGTCAAAGAGGTTGGCGTGACATTGAAGTGAATGGAGTGGGGTGAAATGCGTTGAGTGTAGCTGGATTAAGTGTGGTCCACTCTGCCTGGGTTATGATGATCAGGACAGAGTTGAGTTGTTCTACGCTGAGTCATGTCCCTCATGGTTGGGCTAAACTGGAATCCTGTGGAATGGGCTGGTTGGTGTTGCTTGAATTGTGTTAAATGAGGTAACAGGAATTGCGTTAGGCTTCTCTGATTGCACAGTTCAACACCTGTGCAATCAAGAACTGATTTGTCTGTGTGGTTTTGATTCTCAGGTGGTTGTTTTGGCCAAAGGCTGTGTGGATGCCCGCAGGAATGGGGCAGGTGAGAACACCCATGTTTTCTTCATCTGCTCTCCAGTCAGTGCTGGGGTTGGTTGGTTGGTTACCTTGGCTCAGTGCAGCCTTCTGGCAGGAGGACAGTGGAAGGTTGCAGAGAGGCCCGGTCCATCCCTGGAGGCACAAGCAGTGGAAGGAGGGCCCAGTCTGGAGGCAGTGGGAATTGCGTGGACAGGGCTTCTGGGCACATAAGTCCATCAGAGTCTGAGGGGTGGGAGGGAGTGTGAGGCAGGACACAGCATTAGATTCCCAGCCCAGAGATGGTCCTCTGCTCACTCCAGCTCCTCGAAATCCCTTCCTTCAAAAACTCTCTCCTGAATGGCCTGGGACCAGGTGACCCTCCCTGGTTTCCCTCCCAGCCACTTCCCTCCTCAGCACACCTGGCTTCAATGGCCCTCACCTGGCAGCTACCTCCGGTGTAGCCAGTGGGGCAGAGACAGCGGGGACCCTGAGGGCTGTCCTGGCAGGTTGCCCTATTCCTACAGGGGCTGAACAAGACAGAGACAGGGCATGATAGGAAGAAGTTCAGGAAACAAGGGGAAGGCAGTGTGTGATGTTGTTGGGAGGCAACCACTGGGAGGTGGCAAGCCAGGAGGGAAGGCGGAACGAGGGGTGTGGGGTGGGAGGCAGCCTGGAGCCCAAGGGGAGATGAGAGGAGGGGTGGGAAGGATGAGGGGCTTTCTCCCTTCTAGGGGTCTTTGTGCCTTGCTCACCTGTCTGCACAACTGGGGCGGATCTTTCCCTCACAGCGCCGGCCCTGGAAGCCCATGGCACAGAGGCAGGAGAAGGTGCCGGGTCTGTTCACGCAGGTACCCCCATTGAAGCACGGGGCTGGAGAGAGGAGGCTGTGAGGGTTTGGGTTCCTTGCCTGTAACCTGACCTGTGACCTCAGTCACACTGTACATAGGACATACACCCCCCCCCCAAAATGACAGCTCACTGCCATCCAATTAATTTTTATTTATTTATATAATACTTTATTTTTTTTAAGATAGGGTCTTGCTCTGTTACCCAGGCAGTAGTGCCATCACAGCTCACTGTAGCCTCAACCTCCTGGGCTCAAGTCATTCTCCCACCTCAGCTTCCCGAGTATCTGGGACTACAGGCCTCAGCCACTGTGTGCCCAGCTAATTTAGAGATGGAGTTTCATTATGTTTCTCAGGTTGGTCTGTCCAATTAAATTTTAAAAAATATGACACAAGCATACCCTCCCCAGTTCCTCCATTCTCCTGTGGCCGCCAGCCCCATGACACAGTGGGCACTCACCAGACACACAGTAGTCAGTGATGGTTTGGCACTGGGGACCTGTGTGGCTTGGAGGGCAAGTGCAGTAGTAGCCTCCAGGGCTAGGGTTGCAGGAGCCACCATTGAGACATGGCCCTGAGTGACAAGCTGTCATCTCCTCACTACAGGTAGGCCCTGAAGGAAACAGGTGGGGGCTGAGAAAAGGTGTCCTCCTTCCCTCCCTCCACTCTCCTCCTCTTTCCTTTTCCTTCCCTTCCTCATCCCAAACCCTATTATTCTCTCCCATCAACCTCCTTTCTCACCACCTCCCACACATCACCCGTGTCCCCTGCAGCCCAGTTCTCCTTAGTGGTGACTGAGACACAGGGCCCATGGTCACCTGCCTTACCCTTGACTTAGGAGGTGACCAGCACAGGGTGTATATGGTTTAGGGAGGGTCTCACCTGTGTAGCCTATAGGGCAGGTGCAGTTGTAGCCAGAGGGCTGGGGGTAGCAGGTCCCCCCATGGGCACAGGGTGCAGAGACGCAGCCCCCTAGCTCTGCCTCACACTCTGGTCCCGTCCAACCCACGTCACACACACATGAGGATCTGGTTGTAAAGAGAAAGGGGAGGGTTTTTCTCTTCTCCTACTGCATCTGCTCCCCTCCCTGCTGCCTGGACCCCTATGACTTCCTCTTCTTTTGGCCCTGAGATTCTGGCCTCTTTCTTCAGTGACTTTGCTCTCAGCACCGCCCCCGTCCTCCCCAACACCTGCTCATTTTCTCCAACTAGATATGTGCATATATACGTTTATATATATGTGTATGTATATACATATATTCTTTCTGTAACTTGCTTATTTTCTGTCTGTCTTCATTAGAATGAAAGCTGCACGAGAGCAGTGACTTTGTCTCTTTTGCTTTGTGCTGTTCCCCCAAGGCCTGGAACAGTAGCCACACAAAGTAGGTGCTCAGCAGATTTTTTTTTTTTTTTTTTTTTTTTTGAGACAGAGTCTTGCTCTGTCGCCCAGGCTGGAGTGCAGTGGCATGATCTTGGCTCACTGCAACCTCTGCCTCCTGGGTTCAAACAATCCTTCCGCTTCAGCCTCCCAAGTGGCTGGGATTACAGGTGCGCCACCATGCCCAGCTAATTTTTGTATTTTTAGTAGCTACGGGGTTTCACCATGTTGGCCAGGCTGGTGTTGAACTGCTGATCTCAGTTGATCCGCCCACCTCGGCCTCCCAAAGTGCTAGGATTACTGGCGTGAGACCGTAATCAGCACTGTGCCAGGCCTCTGCAGATATTTTTCTAATGAATGATTAATTTGCCCTGGGATTTAATGCTCTTCTTTCTGCTCTGATCCCCTGGTCCTCTGTTTCCACCAGTTTTTGGGGACTGTCTTCTCCTTGGATGACACTTACCAGTTGAGCCCTCCCACTGCCTCGCCCTAAGAACTTTGCCATCTCCTTCCTTTTCCCCATTGGTCATTTCTCACAGACCTACACCTCACTGGCTGTCCTCTCCCGTCCTAGTGAAGGGAGCCCAAAGGAGGGGGCAGATGGGGAGGGCCTGGAAGATGTTACCTCTGGCAGTGCCCATGGTGGCAGGTGCAGTTGTCCTCAGGTGGGGCACAGCCAGGGCTTCCATCAGGACACAGACAGTTGGCCTTGTCTTTCTGGTCCTTACATATCTGCTTGGGCTGGCACAGGTTGGGAGCACACAGGGGAACCTCACAGAGCTGGCCTGGGGTGGGAAGATGGGTCAAAAAGAAAACAGCTCCTCCACATCCTTCATTGGGCCAAAGGCTACTTCTTATGCGCGCCTTAATCCCCATGAACCCATGAACCTGTCCTTCAATGGCTCCCTATTGCCTTTAAGATATTGTTTAACTTTCTCAGAATGATATGCAGAGTCCTGCAGGACATGACATTTGTGCAACAGCTGCATTTCTCATCTTTGCCTTGCTGCACCCTTAACTCTGGCTTTCTTACAGTTCCTTAAATGGGGTGTGCTTTTCTTCCATCTGTGTCTTTGCACATGCAGTTATCTCCAGCTAAAACACGCTATCTGGCACTCTATGACAAACCTCCTTTCTTTTCTTTTCTTTCCTTCCTTCTTTCTTTTTTTTTTCTTTTCTTTCTTCTTTCTTTCTTTCTTTCTTTCTTCTTTCTTTCTTTCTTCTCTTCTTTCTTCTTCTTTTTTTTCTTTGCCTCCCTTCCTCTTCCCTTCCCTTTCCCTCCCTTCCCTTCCGTTCCTTCCTTCCTTCCTTCTCCTTCCTCCTCCCTTCCTTCCTCCTTCACTTCCTTGTCCCTTCTTCTTCTTCCTCCTTCCCTTCCTTCTTCCTTCCTTCTTCCTTCCTTCTTCCTTCTTCTCTTTCTCCCTTTTTCCCTCCCTTCCATCCCTCCCTCCTCCCTCCCTCCCTGCCTTCCTTCCTTCTTCCTTCCTTCCTTCCTTCTTCTTTCTCTTCTCCCTTTCGTTTCCCTCCCTTCCATCCTCCCCTCCTCCCTTCCTCCTTCCTCTCCTCCTTACTTCCTGCCTTCCTTCTGCCTTCCTTCCTTTTCCTTCCTTCCTTCCTTCCTCCTTTCCTTTTCTTTTTTTTTTTTTTGAGACGCGAATCTCCTCTAGTCGCCCACAGGCTGGAGTGTAGTGGTTCGATCTCAGCTCACAGCACCCCTTGCTCCTGGTCAAGTGCATTTCTCCTGCCCTCAGCCCTCCCCAGTAGCTGGGATTACAGGCGCCCGCCACCGCACGCCTGGCCTAATTTTTTGATATTTTTTAATAGCAGGGGTGAGGTTTCACATGTTGGCCAGGCTGGTCTTGAACTCCTGATTCATAGTTGTGATATCCACCTGCCTTGGCCTCTCAAAGTGCTGAGACTACAGGCGTGAGCCGCCACACCTAGTCTCTGCTTATCTTTCAAGACTCATCTCAGCCATCACCTCCTCCATTTTTAGTCTGGGTTGGCTGGTCCTCTGTGCTCCTGTAGCATCCTGCACATTTTTCTCTTAGAGCACCTCTGTGGGCTATAATCAACAGGAGACTTGTTGGTCTCTCTGTATTAGACTTAAAGTCACGTGAGGATGGCAACTGTCTTACTCAGATTTGCCTCTGTGTCTGGCATAGTAGGCACTTAGTAAGTGCTTACTAAATAAGCAAGTGAATGCCTTTTCTTTGAGCCCAGTCCTCTTCTCCCGAGCCCCAATCACACCATTTACATTGGGCCCATGTGGGCCCTACGGTAACCCCTGCCCTTGTCCCCATGGTTGTATGGTTGTACAATTGTGCAGGTTTTACACTAAATACTTTTAAAGGATATCATTCTCATTCTATTCTCACATCCCAACCATCAAACACCCGCCAATGAACTCTGCCCCAACCCAAATGGAATAAGATACTCTGCCAGTTCTTTCCAATGCCTCCCCTGCTAACCTGTGAAACCAGAGGGGCAGAGGCAAAAGAAGGCTCCTGGAAGATCAAGGCAGCTGGCTCCAACAGGACATGGGTCACTGAGGCACTCATCCACCTCTGTTTGACAGCGTGGCCCTTCAAAACCTGTGGCACAGCAGGAAGGTCAGGGACCTGCACGGACATCTGCCTCCTGCCCCGCTGTCCCCCACAGTGTGTGCCCCAGTTTACCTGGGAGACACTTGCAGTGGAAGGCTCCAGGCTGGTCCTGGCATTGCCCACCATTGGCACAGGGAGAGCTGCTGCACTCATCGATATCCTCCTCACATCGGGTGCCGGCGAATCCTAGTGGGGTGGAATTGGGTGGGGAGAGGAGGCCAAGGTCATCGAGGGAGGCACAGTATGGAAAGGTGAACTTGCAGAGCTTCCCAGAGAAGACACCTGGGGCAGGTGGGCGTGGGGTAACAGGAGAGTGATGCGGAAAAGGTGAAGCTCAGCCTCCTGCCAGCTGTGTGACTTTGGGAAAGCTGGTCAACCCTCTAGGCCCCAGTTTCCTGTTCTGTGTAAAAGGGGAATAATAATGGAACCTACATCATGGTATTGTTAAAAAGATTAAATGACATAACGCCTGAAAAGTACACAGCCAAATGGCTAGTCTGGAGTAAGTGGTGAATAAATGTAGTTATTATAGTAGCAGGGGACAGAGGGGTGTCAGGTGAGGCTGGAGAAGAAAGGCTTGGGACAGCTTTCCCTGGGTTTATGATGAGAGTGCCAAGACCAGCCTGGGACCTCAACATGCATACACAGAGCCTGTGCAGGAGGGCTGGAAAGGAGGGATCGTTGGGTGATTTGGCAAGACAGAGATGAGAATGGGCAAGTAAGCAAGGGAAGATTTGGGGATGTAACAGTAGATATTTTGGGGAGCAAAGACAGATTTGGAGGACTCTTTGGCTAGTCTAGAGAGAGCTTCAAGGCCTTGGGTGATTGCTGGGCCTGAACTCTGCAGGTTCAGAGACCTGGGGTCTGAGGGTGGCCAGAGTGGCATCTGTACTCACCAGGCAGGCAGATGCACTGGAAGCCATTGAGCAGGTCATGGCAACCCGCATGGTTCAGGCAGGGATCTGAGGCACACTCATTGGTTTCCACCTCACAGAGCTGCCCCTCTAAGCCTGGGGACATGGGGATCATGAGGGCTGTGGCTCAGCCAGGTCTGCCTGGGAGACCTGTACTCTAGAATCAGCCCTGCTCCCGACGTGCTCAGGCCATCCTCCCCTGAGGTGCTGTCTGTATGGGGTTGAACAAGATGAACCCTGAGGCCCTGCTGCTCCTCAGTGTTGTGGCCCTGCTCCTTGAGGTGCGAAAGGCTACGGAACAGGGTGCTTGCTGGGGACCTGGGGGAGGATTGCAAGGCTTTTTTGTGGTCATTCCTGTGTATACAGAGGGCGGGGCTCACTAGGGCAGGCTGATCAGCCTGGAGGACCTTGAGGTACAAATAGGACAAATTGGCTTGGAGAACGAGTCCCGCCTCTTTTTCTGCCTGGGCGGGCCTCCATGCCAGGGAGAACGGAGATCCCAAAGTGGAGGAATTTGAAGTGCATCTGGGAAGCTTGTTGCTCCCATATTTGTCCCGTTGCTTCGGGTTCATCCTGGTCTCCACTGTCTCATCCTGAATTGAGGCGGGATCAACCTCCGGACCTTGTCTTCCTTTCTTTTCTTGCCTGAGGAGTCTGCTTCTGAAGCTCCTTGATATCTACAACGCTGTCCCTTGGGTTACCGACCTGTTTTCTCTTATTTTTCTATGATTGTCTGTGGGATGACCTGAGCCAATATCTTTGGGTGCCGCTCAGTTTAGAAAGGCGATATGGGGTAGTGGTTATAATTGTTGAAGCCCTTGGTTTGAATCTCAGCTCTGCCACTTGCTAGCTGGGTGACCTTGGACAAGTCACTTAACCTCTCTGTGCCTCAGTTTCTTCAGTTATAAAATGGGCATTGTAGCAGTGCTGACCTCACAGGGTTATTGTAATAAGTAGACGAGACAATGCCTGTAAGATGCTCAGACAGTACCTGGCATAAAGTCGGCTGTTATTTTTCTGATTTCATTCAACTCCTTGATGTTGCTCTCTCCCGGGGGTGACTTTTCCCCATTAAAACTAACCTGGAGGTGGGTGCAGTCTTGCAGCAATTTTTTTCTTGTTGTACCACATTTTCCTGTTGTATCACAGGGCTTTTGGGATTTTAAGGGATTACCTTTCATTTCTACATGGGAGAGTTTCTATGATTAGAGGGAGCATTCTGGGGTGACCTGAGTAAAGGCTGCAGCACGGAAAGTTTATGAACTGCTTTTCTACCCTCTCTTGCTGGGCTGCTCTGTACAGTGGACCAGGTTTTGCAGGCTCTATGATGACTATGAAATGAATGGCAGCTCCCTCCAGAGTTGAGGAATGCATAACCTCGCTACCATCTGTGGTAACCTTTCTCCTAGGGGTCATGGGTGTCCGTGAGTTTTTATCTGGGGGTAGAGAGAGAAGCATCTGTGGTAACTCACCCAACTGGCCTGAGGCTGTCCTTACTTTGGAGGGGACATTCCTAGTGGGTTCAGGACTATTTCCCTGTTTTCCCCACCCAAGGTCCCATCCAGCTGGTACCTGGTGGGCAGAGGCAGTGGAAGGTGGCAAGTAGGTCCAGACAGGTGCTCCCTGGGTGGCAGGGCTGGGAGAGGCACTCATTGTGATCAGCCTCACAACGGGAGCCCGTGTAGCCAGGTGGACAGAGGCAGTTGAAGGAGCCAGGAGTGTTGAGGCAGGAACCGCCATGTTCACAGGGACTTGGGCCTTGCTGGGCTGGGAGGAGAGAAAAGCTGGGAGTCCACAGGGGTCAGGGCGGGAAGGGCAAGGAGGTCAGACTGTCAGGGAAGGTGGTGGCCTGGCATGTTGCAGAAGAGACGCCAAATGGTGAAAGGGCTTGTAATCTTTAAGATTGAAGGAGGGAACATTAAGGCACCAAATTATTGGGAACTGAGGGGCTGGAGCATCTGGAGAGAGGGTCATGCAGGCAAGAGTGCCAAAATCTGGGGCCCAAATTCCAAAAGGAAAAAGACTGGTTTGGTTTCTTTTTTTTTTTTTTTTTTGAGACGGAAGTCCGCTCTGTCGCACAGGCTGGAGTACATTGGCCGCAATCTTCGGCTCACTGCGTTATTCTTCCGCCCCCGGAAATCGTCCGCGGTGACTCGGCTTTCGATTGCCATTCTCCCTGCTCCAAGGCCTCGCCTGAGTAGCTGGCGACTAACAGGCCACGCGGCCACCACAGAGCGCGCCGGCTAATTTTTTGTGATTTTTTTAATAGGAGACGGGGGGGTTGCAATGTGTTGCGGCGGAGTTCTCGATGGTCTTCCTGACCTCTGTGATCCGCCGCCCGCCTCGGCCTTCCCAAAGTTGCCAGCTGCGGATTACAGGGCGTGAGTTTTTCTACTCTTTCTTATGTCCTATGCTGTTATATATGTGTTTAATGTGAATAATATATATGCAATCCTGGCTTCTCTTTTTCTTTTGTTTTCTCTATATTGTCAGGCAGCGCTGGTCTGAGGCGTCAGGAGAGACTGCATGATGAGTGGGGAGTGGCCTCACCCATTAGACACTCATCCAGGTCCTGGTGGCAGGTGGGCCCTGAATAGCCGGGCTGACACAGGCAGAGTGTGGAGCCTGTGAGGGGGTTGGTGCTGCACTGGGCATCCCCATGGCATGGCTGGCTCAGACACATGTCTTCCAAATGGCACAGGAGCCCTAGAGGGATAAGAGCAGGTGAGGCTCTCAGAGGCCACTTGAGGCTCCTAGCAGCCATCCTGGTACTTCTCTCGCCCTCCTTCTCTACCTCCCACCTCCTGATACCCTCTACCCCCATACCTGTGCGTCCAGGTGGGCAGAGGCAGGAGAAAGAGCCCACCCGGTCAATGCAGGTGGATCCTGGGGCACAGGTGGCAGCAATACAGTCATCCAGATTCTCCTCACAGCTTGTGCCCCCCCAGCCACTCACACACACGCAGTGAAAGCTGCCCGCAGAGTTCTGGCAGGTGCCGCCATTTCTGCAGCGAGGGGGACCCTGGGCCTCACACTCATCCACATCTTTGGAGCAATCCCAGCCTGCAGGGGGTTAGGGAGGGGACAGGGGCTGAAGCTGGGAGCCCTATGAGTAGGGGAGGCCAGGGGCCAACTCTCTGGGCTACGCGTGCCATGAATGTGGCTTAAACAACTCACCTGTCCAGGTTTCTGGGCAGAGGCAGGTGTAGGTGTCCAGCCCATCCTGGCAAGTGCCCCCATTCTGACATTGGTGGTTGACACAGTTGTCTGGATTCACCTCACAGTCTGGGCCTATGAAACCTGACAGGGTCGTGGAATCAACTGGGGGAGGAGGCTCCAAGGGAGACATCCTGCCCTGCCCAGAGAGAGGGGCTGCAGGAGAGCCCCTGTGAGGACACACCTGGGGGACAGAGGCAGAGGTGAAAGGTGGAGTCTTTCCCTGGCATCAGCTGGCAGGTGCCCCCATTCGAACAGCCCCTAGGAGGGCAGGGTCCTGCCCGGAGCTCACAACGTGGGCCCTCCCGCCCCACAGGGCAGAGGCACTGGAAGGAGCCCAGGGTGTTATGGCAGGAGGTGCCTTTGGGGCAGGGTCCTGGGTCCTGGAAGCACTCGTTGACATCACGTTCACAGGCATGGCCCTCGAAGCCCGGTGGGCAGCGGCACTGGATCTGGGGGTACGTGGCCAGACACACCCCTCCATTAACACATGGGTTGGCTGAGCAGAAGTCCCGAAGCTGGCACTGCTCACCTGAGGCAGAGGACAGAGGGAGCTGTTTCTAGCACTGTGTGAGTTCTAGCCCATCTGAGGTTACCCAGTGCTCACTCTGGATTATCTCTGGGTCTCATTTTCATATTTCCTTCGCTTTATTACCATACTCTCTTTGCTCTGTTCCATCACCCCTGATCTCAGTGTTGCCATGGTTTGGGAGGGTTTATCCGGAGCGACCATATCTTCTAAAGTGATGATGAGAGTATTGGAAATTGTCCTTGCCTGAGAAAATCTGGCACATGGGTGATCTGGGGGGAGGTGAAAAGCACCCCACGTCTGCAGGCAGGAGACTCAGGTGGCACCTTGCTGTGCCACAACTGGTTGTATACCCTTGGGTGAGCCACTTCGCCTTTCTGATCCTGGTTTCCTCATCTTTAAGTGGGCTTAGGCCCCTGGAGACTCACTTCACAGTCCATGCGCACCAGTGGGAATGGCGGCCGCTGTGGAGGTGCCAGGTGCTGAGCTGAGCAAGCACTTCTGAGCATCGGCCCCTTGTATCCTCTCAGCAACCTTATGAAGTGTGACCATTACTCTCCCTGTTTGTCAGCTGACAACTGAACACCAGAAAGCTAAAAGATCTTATACGAGGTCATGTAGCTGGTCAGTGGCAGAGCTGGCATTTGGATCCAGGGGCTGTCGCAGAGCCCCTAGTCTGAAGCACTAAACTTGCCCCAGGGTTACACTCCTCCTCCTGGGGTGGCCCCACTCCTCTCTCTGGGTCACATCCCTCCCTTCCCGGTGCCTCTCCCACCACTGCAGTCTTCCCAGGTGATATTATGGCTCCCTCCACTCAGAATGGGAGCCATTTAGATGCTCAGAATGCAAAAGCCTGGAAGACCCCTGTATGCCGAGCAATGAGCCTCTAGCTGCTAGGCAGCAGGGAGATTAAGGGGGCTAGGATAGGCATCAGGATGGTGCACAAAGGAGGCTCATGGCACCCTTAATTTGGAAATATTTTAACATTTTAGCAATCAGTACAACCCTGCTGGTGAATGTGGGTCGTGGAGAATTGGCATGTTGATTCTCATGGCTTGTCTTCAAAGGGCTTGCAGTTTCTCAGGCTCCAGTTCCATCTTCCCCACCCACAGCCTAGCCCATTGCTCCTGCCTGTCCCCTCCTGGCCGCCCCCAGCAGCGCTTACCTGTCCATCCAGGCATGCAGGAGCACTGTGGGCGGCCTGAGGCCTGGATGTGGCAGTGGCCCCTTTTGGAACAGAAGGAGGGAGGACAAGGATCTTCAATCTGGGCCTGGCATCTCTCGCCAGTGAAGCCAGGGAGGCAAGTGCACGAGAAGTTGGGTGCCAATGGAGAGGGAGAGCTGGGGGGCCCTAGGGGAGCGGGAAGCAGGGCTTGGCAGCTGCCTCCATTCTGGCAGAGCTGGGGATTTTGGCAGGGGTCAGGAAACTGGCACGTCTCACCCAGGAAGCCAGGGGCACACCTGGGCAGGGGAGGAGAGGAAAACTCACATCACTGGTCCCTCTTCCCATTCTCGCCCACCTCCCTTCTCTGCCTTCATTTGTTTCCCTTCATCTCCTTCACTTCCTCCCTTTCTTCTTTGGTCTCACTTCCTCACCTCTCCCCCCGCGCTCTCCCTCCCCCTTTCTCTCCAGTCTCCCACCCCTGCAAGGCACACTCACTGGCAGGTCCCTTGTCCCAGAGACAGGCTCAGGCAGGTGCCTCCATTGGCACAGGGTTCTGGGAAAGTCCCACACAGCAGCCCTGAGGGTGGAGAGGCAGGCGCGATGGAAGCCCTGGGTGCCGTGCCTCCACCTTTCCTCTTCCGGGTGCTCCTGAGAGACCTGCCCGCAGCAGCTCCCACAGGTGCTCTAAACCACCTCTTCTTCACACCTGTCCCCACTCTCCACATGGTACCCAGCCCCAGCCCCAGTGCCCTCCATCCCAGTTACTAATCCCCACCCCCCTTTCCTGTTTATTCTCTGGCCTCCTGAGTCCGGCCTCGGACTCCATCTCTCGGAAGCAAGACAACAGGGGTCAGAAGGGGGGCGGAGGTGGCTCCCGGGAGGTGAATGGCTGAGACTTCGAAGAGATTTCCTCCCGGAAAGGCCCAGCATTGAGCCATCCGGGGGGTGGGGACAGCTGGACTCAGAAAGGGACTTAGTAGGCCTGACCTTTCATGTCCTCATCTGCTTCCCTCTCATCTCTTCCCCAAGCAGGTGGTCAGTGTGTTCCCTCTTCCCCTCTTCCCTATGGCTGCAAGAGTCCTCCAGTGCTAGTGCTGATGAGGTTCTTCCTGGAGGTGGGCACCCTCTCACCCATCCCCCGGCAGTCACTACCCCTGGCACCAGGCCCAAAGCAGGTCCACGGGAACAGCCGTTTTTCCCTGCAGGCCGTCTCTATTTGGGCAGTGAGAATCTCTTCCACCCAGTGTCCCTCACACAACCTGGGGCTTGGCCCTCTTCCCCCACCCCACTGGACATCCTCCTATGGGAAATGGGTCCCCCACCTCACCCACGCCATGCCTCACCTCTGGTTATGACCACTGAGACACATAACAGCAGCAGCAGCAGCAGCAGTGAAGGGGGCTGCATTCCAGAGCCCCTTCTCCAAGCCCAGGTCCCTGTCCCTCTTCAGGCGGGAACCCTCAGAGCCCTCACTGAGGTAGGAGCCACCTCCTCTGCTCCCACTGCCCCTCTTCCTCCTCCTCGGCCTGCTGCAAGCCTCACGTCTGAGCTGTTTCCTGAGTCACACAATGTCCTGGACACCCTAGTAATGGGGGGCGGGGGAAGAGTGGAGGAACACTAGGGGGGATGAAGGAGGGGCCTTCTGTCCCTGACAACCCCTGGGGAAGTAGGGGGAAGTAGGACAGTGTGCCTGGAGGGCAGGTGATAGGAGGGGAGAAGGACTCTCGGAACCCCCGGGGCAGTCCCAGCCCTGCTGTTTGTTGATCTGGTCTCTCCTTTCTAGGGATGAGCATTGCAAGGTGGCTGCCCCTGTGCCCCAGGAGGGGCAGGATCTAGAAACAGGTATTGGGTGGTTAGAGAGTTCTGTATTCCCCTTCCCAGGAGAGGATGCTTAATTTGCCAGGTTATTACAGATGCTTATCAGAGAACCTGCAACTTGTCATGGTTTGAAACCACTCACCTTGGCAAAAGGAACCCAGGGGGCTTCTGGGCCTTATCTTGGCTCTTGCCGAGACTTATTTTTCTCCTTCTGGGGAACGGGCAAGATGCTGGCTGGTCTGGGGAAATCTTGGTCTTCCTGTATAGGGGAATGTTAAGACTGTCGTTATCAGTGATAAATGAACATAGTGTACCCTAAATTTTGCAGTATGCATTATCTGTAACTTATCACTGAATTTGGGTAGTTTTCACTTCCTCCATCTCTGCCTCCCTCCACTGCAGAAGTCGTTGGGATGTAGGGAATGTCAGTCAGAATGCAAAACTGGAGTAAATAAAATCACGAAAGCGAATTCTTTGCCTCCAAATGCTCATGCTATCTTCTTGAGTCAACCCAGGACAACTTTGGGGTCAACCACACACCGAGTTCCTCTAGTAGCACAGGGAACTGAGAGTCCAGGGTGGCAGAAGGTGTCACTGGCAGCTGTGCTCTCCCCGGTGTTGAGGCACTCACGGTTGCCGCTGGTGTACCTGAGAACTTTTCCCTACCAGGGAACGTACTTCACACCGCTTTCTTCCTTTTTTTTAAGTTTTTTATTTTGAAATACTTTAAATCTCATGGGAAACGGGCAAGAATACTAAAAAGAATTCCAGGATACCCTTCACTCAGATTCATCCACTAACATCATTTGACCACATTTACTTTATCATTATTTCTCTATAAATACATATTTGTATGTTTTTCTGAACCATTTGAGAGTAAGTTGCATACAAGATACCCCTTTACCCTTAAATCTATCAGTGCGAATTTTCTAAGAACAAAACATTCTTTTACATAATACAGTACAATTATCCAAATCAGGAAACTTAGACTGATGTGATACTAATTGACGGTCCAAATTCAGGTCTTGCCAATTGCCCCATAATGTCCTTCATGACAATTTTTTCCCTTGGTCCAGGATCTCATTTGGCATCCTGCATTGCATTTAGTTGTCAAGTCCTTTCAGTTTCCTTTAATATGAGTACAGTAACTTAAATATACTTTGCCTTTCATTACACTGACTTTTTTTTTTTTGAGACAGAGTTTTGCTTTGTCCTCCAGGCTGGACTGCAGTGGCATGATCTCAGCTCACTGCAACCTCCACTTCCCCTGTTCAAGCAATTCTCATGCCTCAACCTCTGGAGTAGCTGGGATTACAGGTGCCCACCACCACACCCGGCTGACTTTTTGTATTTTAGTGGAGACGGGGTTTCATCATGGTACCCAGGCTGGTCTCAAACCCCTGAGCTCAGGCAATCCACCCATCTTGGCCTCCCAAAGTGCTGGATTATAGGTGTGAGCCACCGCACCTGGCCGATATTGGCATTTTTAAGCATACGGGTCAGTTGTTTTGTAGACTGTTCCTAAATTTGAGTATGTCTGGTGTTTATGCATTTTTGGGCACGAGTACTGTACCAGTGCCTCACTCATGGAAGCCCATGAGCCAGCATCATTTATAATGGTCGCCCAGTATTCTACTAGTTCATTTAAACCAATTTCCTATTATAGCATGTTTAGGCAGGTCTCAATTTGCTTTTTGTTTCTTTAGAGACAGGGTCTTGCTCCGTCACTAAGCCTGGAGTGCAGTGGCACGCACGTAGCTCACTATAACCTTGAACTCCTGGGCTCACAGTATCCTGCTGCCTCGGCCTCCCAAAGCTCTGAGATTACAGGTGTGCACCACCACACCCAGCCTTCAACTTTCAAACATATAATAAACTGAGCTGCGGTAAATATTCTTTTTTTTTTTTTTTTTTGAGATGGAGTCTCCCTCTGTTGCCCAGGATGGAATGCAGTGGTGTGATCTCGGTTCACGGCAACCTCTGCCTCCCGGGTTCAAGCTACTCCTGCCTCAGCCTCCTGAGTAACTGGGATTACAGGCATGTGCCTGGCTGATTTTTGTATTTTTAGTAGAGACGGGGTTTCACCATGTTATCCAGGCTGGTCTTGAACTCCTGACCTCAGGTAATCTGCCCACCTCTTTCGGCCTCCCAAAGTGCTGGGATTACAGGTGTGAGCCACTGTGCCTGGACCTTTGGTAAATATCCTTGAACTTACATATTTGCATGGCTGTCTAATTATTTCCTTAGGCTAAATTCTAGAAGTGAAACCACTGAGTGAAAGAGTGAAGGCATAGACTTGTTTTAAAGCTCTTGGTCTCTAAGTGTTGCCAAGCCATTCTCCAGAAAGCAGTGCAGGCCTTTCTCCTCCAGTTAGTAGTGTCTGCCTGTGTCCTTACGCTCACCAACCCTCCGCATTAGAATCCTCACCACTTTGATAGATGAAATGGTCTCTTACTGCTGCTTTAAATTGCACATTTGTTGTTAAGTGTCAACATTCTTTTTAACTGTTTAATGGCTATTTGTGTTTCCTGTCCACGCTTTTGTGAGTTTCCTGTCCATGCTTTTGTCCCATTGTGCTATTGGTGTCATTGTCATTTTCCCATCACCTTCCTTAGTTGAGGAGGCAACTGTGGGTGTGGGGAAGAGTAATCCTAGCGTAAAAGTCCCTGCTTTTGTACTCTCTGGTTTGCTGACTGGGGATTTGGTGTTGGTGAGTAGTAAAAGGAAAATAGGAAGAGACAACAGGTTTCTCGTGGAACCATGAAGACCTTGGTGGAAAGAACTGAACTCACCATTTCTGCAATGTTGACAATCTAACCCCATTTGTGGAAAAGGAGGCTGGGGCACTAGGCTGGAGCTTGAGAAAAAGAAGAAATTGCAACGGAGACAGATAAGAAGTGGTTGGTGGAAGGGGAACCAGAAGTGTGGTGGGGCAGAAGCTGAGTTTAAAGACAGTGTCAGGAAGCTACCTTCCCACTTCTTGCTTTATCCTGCTTAAGTAAGGCAGTGTGCACCTGCTCAGGCATTATGAGCTATGCTTGGGTCCCAGATACCTTTCCTGGCCCCTAAGACCTCATAGCCCAAAGCAGTATTGATGCTCCCCCAAGAGCTTGTTTCTCCTTCCCAATGGCTTCCCAAGGGTTGATACTGACCAGGGTGAACTGCAGCATGCCAGGGACACAGATAGTTCCCTCTGGGAAATGACCCTTTTTCCTACAGTATTTCATCAAGTAGAGATTCTTTTTGTTAAAGAGATTTTCTTTCGTTGTATACCCCCTGAGAAGGATAAACCTGTCAGTCATTCACACTTCAGTCATAGGGACTTGTGACCTTAAAAGGTTAAATCCGAGGTTGGCCCTGATAATGTGTCCAAACACAAAGAAGGCAACAGGTCACTGTAGCCATAGAGATAAGCAACAGTGTCGGGTGCAGCGGTGGCTCATGCCTGTACTCCCAGCACTTTGGGAGACCAAGGTAGGAGAATTACTTGATCTCAGGAGTTCAAGACCAGCCTGGGAAACATAGGGAAACCCCATCCCTGTGAAAAAAATACAAAAATTAGCAGGCTGTGGTGATGCACACCTGTTGCCCCAGCTACTCAGGAGGCTGACGTGGGAGGATCACTTGAGCCCAGGAGGTTGAGGCTGCAACGAGCCATAATCATGCCACTGCACTCCAGCCAGAGTGACAGGGTGAGACCAGAGTGAGAGGAAAAAAAAAAAAAAAAAATAGCCTTTATCACAAGAAGAAATTCTAACTAAGTAGAAATGAAAAAGAGAGAAATCGGCAAGAGTAATCCACTCTTGGAGATTATTTGTAAATATATGGTTCAGGAGATGTGGAGCCCCTCGTTGCCCCAGGCCCCTCCCTCTCTGCCTCCCTATTAGTTACTCTTCATCTCCCCAACCTCTTACCATTGTAGTGTCCATGGTTATTCCCTGGGCCTCTTCTATTTTTCTGTCTCCCTAGGTGATCTCATCCAGTCTCCTGGCTCCCTACCAGATTCAGATACCATCTATGAAGACCACCTTTGTACTGATGACTCTCAAGATCATACACTTCCTGGAACTCCAGACTTGTACTTCCAATACAAGTACCACGAACTTAATATGTCCAGAGCTGACCTGATCTTCTCCCTGAACCTTCTCTTCCTTCCTGATACAATTGAGTTTTGCAGTTCTATTATTTCCATTGTTTAGGCCCAAATCCTTGAAGATATTGCTGACTCCTCTCTTTTTCTCATACTCCACATCCAAACTGTCTTAAATCCTATGGACTCTACCTTCAAAATATGTATATCTGGAATCTGAGCACTTCTCATCTCTTCTCATCTCCACTGCCAATAGCCTAGTCCAAGCCAGTGTCATCTCTTGCATCTCCTAACTTGTCTTCCTGCTGCTGTCCTTGCTCTCCTTGTCCATATCTCTACACAGCAGCCAAAGTGAGTAAGTTGAAATACAAGTTAGACCACCTCATTCCTCTGCTCAAAACTCTCCAATCACTTCTCCACTCACTCAGAGTAAAGCGAACTTCCTTACAGGGCCTGCAAGGCTCTACACAAGGCCCTTCCCTCTCTCTCTCTCTCTCAATCTCTCTTTTTTTTTTTTTTTTTTTGTTGTTGAGATGGAGTCTTGCTCTGTGGCCCAGGCTGGAGTGCAGTGGTGTGATCTCGGCTCACTGCAACCTGTGCCTCCAGGTTCAAGCGATTCTCCTGCCTCAGCCTCCTGAGTAGCTGGGACTACAGGTGCGTGCCACCACGCCAGGCTAATTTTTTGTATTTTTAGTAGACACGGGGTTTCACTATGTTAGCCAGGATGGTCTCAATCTCCTGACCTGCCTGCCTCGGCCTCCCAAAGCGCTGGAATTACAGGTGTGAGCCACTGCCCCTGGCCAAGGCCCTTCCCTGTCTAACCTCATCTTTGATTACTTCTTCTCACCATCCAGCCCCATTGGCTTCCTGCTGTTCTTGAAACAGGCACATTCACACCTTAGGGCCTTGTACTTGCCCTTCTCCCTGCCTGAACTGCTTCCTTCCCCAGCTATCTTTGTGGCTCTGTCCCTCATCTCAAAAGGCACCTAATCAAGGCCTTCCTTGGCTACCCCATTTCAAAATTGGAAGCCTTCTCCCATGTTCCCCATCCCCATTGGCTTTTCTCCTCATTATTTCTCAATATCTAACACACACATATTTCATTCATATTTCTTATTTACCGACTGCCAATTCCACAAAGGCATGGATTTTTGTCTTTTTCATTTACTTGTTTTTGGACTTGATCATGCCTCAGTGTGTGGAGCAGGACCTCAACTCAGCATGCACTGTCTCATTTAAAATACCCCCAGGAGGAGGATACCATTACCTCCACCCACAGTGAGATGTGGAGCTCAGAGAAGTTGAGTCACTCGTGCAAGGTCATATAGCTACTAAGTGTGTTTCAGATGTGAGTTATTCACATCCAAACCCATGTTCTTTCTACCCTGAGGCTCCATCTGTCTTAGTAGGGTTTATTTTTTGTCATTTTAAAAAATAATGTGGGCATAGCTGGGCAACAAGTTTCTGCTTCAATTACATCAGAAACTACAGATCCAGACATTCTCTTATGCCTTTGCTGACATTCAGTGCAGCATTCAGTAAGTACTGATACATGTCATTTGCTTATTTACTTATCAATTCATTTACACAGTATTTATTGAACACAGTGTTATACCCCGCAATGTTTTAGGCCCTGAATTTATGGTCTTGAACAAAATAGATACCAAGTAAATATGAAATATAATATCAGATAGTGATAAGGAGTATGAGATGATATAAGGCAGGGTGAGGAGAGAGAGGAGAACTTGGGAGCTATTTTAGATTGGGAGGTTGGCAGGGTGCGGTGGCTCACGCCTGTAATCCCAGCACTTTGGGAGGTGGAGGCGGGATCATCTGAGGTCAGGAGTTCGAGACTAGCCTAGCCGATATAGTGAAACCCTGTCTCTACCAAAAATGCAAAAATCAGCCAGGCATAGTGGCACATGCCTGCAGTCCCAGCTACTCCGGAGGCTGAGGCAGGAGAATCACTTGAACCTGGGAGGTGGAGGTTGCAGTGAGCTGAGATTGTACCATTGCACTCCAGCCTGGGTGACAGAGCAAGACTCCACCTCAGGCCAGGTGTGGTGGCTCACACTTGT